GCAGATGAGAGGTTCCTGCAGCACAGCAAGGCAATGGATGATGCCTTGTGTCAGGACATGAGAGCGGACACCCAATCCCTGCTTGGACTCATGGGGCGCACGGTGGCCGTATTGGAGACACAAGTTAAAAAATAATTTTGGTTGCCGCTTTTCATGTCTTTTTTTTTTTTTTTACACAATTGTTACCTGCAGAACTTTATTTTTTTAAAAGATTTCTGTTGTTTTTTTTGGTTTAAATAAACATGTTTAGTAATGCAAATAGCTGGTCCAGTTTCTTAAACACTTAACAGGCAAATATTGTATTATGGTTTGTGTTTTTAATGTAATTTACTTTTATATAAATGTGTACATTAAACAGCCAAGTGATGCGATTAGCTGCATATACAAATCTATATTATTTCGACATGAAATATGATTAAAATCCAAGTTACTTTATGATTGGTAGTTAATAAAAACTTGGTTGGTTTTAATCCTGGCCAGAAGTGTGAAAGGGTTGTTGATTGAGGATGATTGATAAATGACATTATCTTTTCTAATAATAATGGATGTTGTGTTCTCGTGGAGATGTTTTCCCCTGCAGTGGATTTCTAACTGGTGTTGCATTTTCCTAAGGTCTCCGTATCATTGCTGCTTTTTTCGCACAAACCTTCCTGTGGTTATGGGGACAAAACCAGACTGTGAGGCTCGTAGGCGTGAGTTGTGGTTTTGGTGTAAGAGTGACCGTGTGAAGGGATGGATGACAGGGTGTGTGACTGAGGGTGGGTGTCCATATGACATATTAGTGATACTAGATGTGGCAAAAAAAGGGTGTGGAAGAATACAACTGAGAATACTGGGAGAGTGTTCATATGACATTTGGGAGGCTACAGTAAACAATGGTGCAAGACTTCAACTGACACTATGCTTGACTTAGATTCAGACACAGATCCAGAGAGTAAGTACTTCAACAATGGGAGAAATTGTGACTACTACACGGAAAATCAGTTCAACGAAAAGTTTGGATCAGAACACAATATAAAGATAATACACTTCAATAGTAGAAGCCTTTACGCTAATTTTTGCAAGATTAAAGACTACCTAGACCAGTTCACCTCACCTCACCAGTGTAATCGCAATCTCGGAGACCTGGATTAGTCTGGAGAAAGGGGTGGAATTTGAGTTGGATGGTTATAATCTGAATTATGTAAACAGAGGCAACAAAAGGGGAGGGGGAGTTGCACTTTATGTTGATAGAAGACTTAAGTACAAGATTGTTGAAAGTATGACGGCTGCAATTGATGATATATGTGAATGTATTACTATTGAAATAGATATGGGGAAAAGGAAGAACATCATTGTCAGCTGTGCATACCGGGCTCCCAACAATAGCATAGAGAAGTTCAAGGAGGTGATGGAGAGTATGGCTACAAACACCGAGCAAAAGGTAACTTTTCTCTGTGGCGATTACAACATCGATCTTCTGAATCCTAACAAACTAACACCGATAGAGAAATTCATGGATGCAATGTACAGCAGAAGCTTGTATCCTATTATTACTAAACCTAGTCGAATTACAGTCCACTCTGCAACACTTATAGATAATATTTTTACTAATAACCTAATAGATAATATAGAAAGTGGATTATTATTAAATGATATTAGTGACCATCTGCCGGTGTTTGCAATCTACAGCGGTACACCTAGGTTGGCTGAAAGGAATGAAATGATAGAAAGGAGATTAAGAACGGTTGACAATCTAAACAAGTTCAGAAATGAATTAAGTGCACAAAACTGGAGAAAGGTTTATGAGGCAGAGGAGGTTGATTATGCTTATGATTCCTTCCTGCAAACTTTTCTGATGTTATATGACAGATGCTGTCCAATTCAGCAAAGCAGAAAACGAGCAAATCGCTCAGATAAACCTTGGCTTACAAAGGGTCTGTTGAACGCCTGTAAAAAGAAGAACTTCTTATATAAAGAGTTTATCAAGAATAGAAATAAGGAGAAAGAAATGAAGTATAAAAGATATAAAAATAAATTAACTGATATTATGCGAAATTGTAAAAAGGATTATTATTGTAAACTACTAGATAAAAATAAAAATAATATAAAGGAAACATGGAAGATCTTAAATTCAATTATAATAAATCAATCGACCAGCTCTGGATTGCCAGAAGAAATTCTAGATAATGATAAGATTATTAATGACAAAAAGGAGATGGTAGAAGGCTTCAATAAATTCTTTGTAAATGTGGGCCCTAAACTAGAAGAGCAGATAAACCTTCCTCAAGGGGGATGCGTAGCACATTATTTGGGCAAGAGGAACCCAGATACTATCTTTCTGAAAGACACCGATAAAAATGAAATTATTGCCATAGTTAATAACTTCAAAAAAAAAACATCAAGAGACTGGAATGGTATTGATATGACAATAGTAAAAGAAGTCATTATTAATATAGCAGATCCCCTAGCACATATCTGCAATGTTTCACTTCAAACGGGCTTCTTTCCAACCAAAATGAAAACTGCTAAGGTAATTCCGATTTTTAAAGAAGGTGAAAAAAACCTTTACAATAACTACAGACCAGTCTCCCTGCTTTCCCAATTTTCCAAAATTTTGGAAAAAATATTTGCTACAAGGATGGACAGTTTCATAGATAAACATGGATTACTCATAGATAGTCAATATGGTTTTAGGCCAAACCGATCAACATCATTGGCACTCATGGACTTAGTAGAAGAACTGACAAGCACAATAGATAACAAAAAGATGGCAATAGGGGTCTTCATAGATCTGAAGAAGGCATTTGACACAATAAACCATGATACACTGCTACACAAACTGGAAAGCTATGGGATCAGAGGGGTTGGACTAAATTGGGTACAAAGTTACATAGGACAAAGAAAACAGTTTGTACAGATAGGGGATAAGAAGTCCACCTTAAGAAATATTACCTGTGGTGTGCCGCAAGGATCAATACTGGGTCCAAAACTATTTATTATTTATATAAATTACATAAGTAATGCTTCCAGGATCCTGAAAAATTTTATTTTTGCAGATGACACAAATGTATTCTGTGAAGGAGGGAACCTCGAACAGTTGTTGGAGGCGGTCTCGACTGAGTTAACCAAGCTGAAATTGTGGTTTGATATAAATAGATTATCACTTAATGTAAAGAAAACCAAATTTATGGTCTTTGGTAAAAGTAACACACAAGCAAACACACACATTGAACTAATGATCGATAATATAAAAATCGAAAGGGTGTTTGAATACTCCTTTCTAGGTGAATGATAGACCACAAGCTCAGCTGGAGGCCACAGGTCACTCGTGTACAATCAAAATTGGCACGATGTGTAGGGATACTAGTCAGAGTCAGACATATATTGAATATACAATCACTGCATACACTGTACTGTACACTGTTTGCCCCCTATTTTAGTTACTGTGTGGAAGTGTGGGGTAATACCTACAAAAGCACCCTACAGGCAATATGCACAATTAAAAAAAAAGCAATACGGATAGTTAATAAGGTGGGGTACTATGAACACACAAACACATTATTTCTGAAATTAAATATATTAAAATTTATGGACTTGAAAGATTTTAAAATGTTACAGATTGTATTTAAAGCAAGAAACAGCCTACTCTCAGGAAACATTCAAAGTTGGTTTAGCGACAGACTAGGAGACTATAATTTAAGAGGGAGACTGAAACTGAGGCAACCAAAGGTGCACTCTACACTCAAAAGCAGGTGCATATCGGTCTGTGGGGTGAAGTTGTGGAACAACTTACCAGATAAGATCAAAGATTGTAAACATATTGCACAGTTCAAAAAACATCTTAAATTATACACATTAGCCAAATATGAGATCTGTGAAAATATTAAGTGAAGGAAATTTAAATTGTATTTATTTGTGCGTGTGAGTATGCGTGCGTGTGTGTGGGTGAGAGTGTGTGTGAGAGAGTGTGTGTATGTATGTATGATATTAATCTTCAAAGTAATATATACTAATTGAGAATATGGATAAGAAAGGGGTGGGTATCTATAAGCTTTTGCTTCCCCCTACTCCTTTTCTTGAACAAAAGGTGTATTTTCTCATTTTGTGGTCTACGTCTATGTTGATTTTTAAATTTTTTATTATTTGGTGTCTACATGTTCAAGAAATAAAATTCTTCAAATCAAATCAAATCAAAATTCACAAAATGCAAGTTTTAGAGATTACATGGTTCATTTAATGGATGAGAATGTAATACAATTCAAAAGTTTTGATTTCAATAAACACAAACTGCAGTGTTACAAAAATATTGCAACAAATATAGCTTTGGTGTATTCAAAGAATCACTTGTTCCCTCTGTTAAAATGCATCATTAATGCAGCTCTGATGTCAGCCCCTTCTGTTTTTGCCCGCTCAGGTATTGTCTGAGCAGTAGGCTCTATGTTTAGAGTCCTGTCTGAGTGCTCTTCACTGAAATTATCACCATGTTCCTCACAAATGTTATGGAGGACACAGCAGGTCAGTGCCATCCTCTTGCTCAGCTCCAGCTTGCAGTCGTTTCTTTTTAGGAGGCACCTCCATCGTCCTTTTAATCTCCCAAAAGATATCTCCACAACCGATCATGCACTGCTCAGCCTGTAATTGTATGTGTGCTGTTCAGGGGTCAGTCTGCCAGTGTCGCAAAAGGGCTTCATGAGCCAATTCTGCATGGGATATGCCGGATCACCGATCAGGTAATGTCCAACATCACAGCCAGAGATAGTCACTTTGTTTTGTCCTAGTAATTCCCCGTCACTTAAGGACAGACTTCTGGCGAGACAGGCGTGTGACTGCCATCTAGTGGACAGAAACGAGACACATAATGTCAAACTCGACCACGTAGACTTTCATCCTGCCGGTCAAAGCTCAAAGGCCTTTGAATCAAACAAAAGTATTTATTTGAAAGCTTAAGGATACATATTTGTTTCTTATATCAACCCCTAAAATCGGACAAACACAAGCAAAATTCTTACAATAGGTTATATATTTTGTAGATGTTTATTTATTTTTTTCAAGTTACATGGGAAGCACATTTATTAATTTTTTTGCTTTTCAAAGAAATCAGGGTTATTTCCACTTGTTTCCTGGAGATAGGGCTTAAAAGACAAAAATAAAAACATTCAAACACATCAGAGCCATCAAATATATGAGTCTCATTAATAAAAAAAAAAAAAGAAGCTAAATACACTGATTAGCCAGGCTGGACAGTGGTTCGTTTTTTTGTTGAAAATGACAATTGCTTGTGGGATCATGTCGTCCCGAGACCTACACCGATGTACACATCTGGTTGTTGAGGCTCGTTGGAGCCACGTTAACTGGGCTGTTAAAGCCGGCCGGCAAAAGATTGGGACATGCTCATTTAACCAACCTATGCTACATCCCAAATTAAGGTGAACCCTCTTGCAAGAAACCATGGAAGAGACCCTGATATAATTTGAACAATATATTAAGGGCTTATCAATCAATTACAATCCATTTCTTTCCAGTAGAAATAGTCAATTTTCCTGGTGATAAAATACAATTCTGATTCCCTTCCAGAAATAAATCAAATGGATCTGCAATGCAATGAATGCATGTTACAAACATGTATCAAGCTTCAAGGCTGCTTTAAAACACATACCACTGTACCATCATGAAATTTAACAGGGTAAACCAGGACTGAGGCCTTTAAACTGTCCACCGAAGAAATCTGTTACTCTATTTAAGTTTGAACTACTGCAAGACTCCAAATAGGGTTTGACACAGAAAGGAACTTTCTATCTTCATACTTAAAGGTAAAACTGTATATCCCGATTCCAGATTTTTGGGGATAAATGAAACTAAGCCTGTGGATCCATTAGATTTTGGTCCCACTATTTTGGAAAACAGGCCATCAACAGCAAGAAAAGACATAAATGAGAATGTTGAATGGCTGAAACAAAGAACTTCTGACTCGACAGCGTAAATCGTCTTTGATGCATTTGCATAAGAAGGGGGTGCAGGTGGAGCAGGGGTGCAACATGTCGTCTTAAAGAGTCCTCCCACAGACAAAGATGTATTAATCCTCCTCATCTTTACAGGACAATTAGTGAGGAAACTACTGTGTTATACAAGTATCAAACAATACATAAGGATAGGATTCACCACCCGCAAAAACAAAAAACAAAAAAACAACTAACTATTCCTACGCAAGTCAAACACCTATTATAGTTCAACACAAGCAATAGGCAAAGTTAATAAGTTCAATTATTCAACAAGAACCTGGATAATCTCCACCCAACCTGCCCGGCTTGCAGAGGCCCTGCACGCAGGCGTCCTCCCCCTTTTCTACAGCTCCACAAAGCGCTACACAACTTTACTTCGGTGCCATGCCATAATATACAGAGATACTCAGAGAATGACAAACACTTTCCTAAAACGGAGAGGAGGCGGAGATGTGTGTTTGACGAACGAGGCGTCGGGTGTGTGAGCCTCGTCTTGGGGTTTCTGCTCAGGGGTCAATACAACACAGATTTTCAATTCACAACATGAGTCTCCCTGGATTACATTCATGCACAGGCACAGGCACCCACGCACACTTACACGCCTAGTCCCACGCATGCTGTGGTGCTGTCATGGTTCGACGCGTTGCTCTCGTGTGGTGCGTCAGCAGGTCTGCGGTCCTGTCCCGGAGGCCGTCTGCAGCCACGGCAGTCTGTACACGGGGAACGAGCTGCGGCGCCGCGGCCTCCCGCTCGTATGGACGCGAGTATCGTGATGGCAACTCCTCGGGAGACGGGGTGTAAAAAAATTCTGAAGATGTATGGTGACGCTTCAACACAAATGGGAATCCGCACTCTTTTGAAGTTGAGACTGCTCAGAAATGGAGCGGCCGTCATCCTGCCGTCCTCTTTCAGGGAGATGCCCGATGAGCCAGTAAAAGTGTTGAATAAATACAAGAGGAAAACTAAAACTTGAGTATTTTATGTCAGTCCTCCTTCGTCCTGCATTGGTCTCACTGCTCAGTTTGGACATGCATCGTCAAAAGCCTTAATTGAAGCCACCAAAGATTGTGGAAATGAATGACGCACTCCTTTCTGATCGAAACACGCTATGGGGCAAAGAGGAGGGCGATGGGCAGGTGGTCTTGGACGCCTAAGTAAGGGTTAATATTCTGCAATATCATACTGCAAATCCTTGTATAGCAATAAAAATCCTTGTGTTGCTGTAAAAAAGTGTCTTGTTTAAATATGAATATAGCACTGAGTTTCTGCTCTTTAGGAAAGGACTGTCTGTTGTGAGCCGAAAGGAACAGGATCGCCCCCTTCACTACAACTCCATGTCCTGAGCCTCGTCCTCTGAAAAGTCTGACATGGAGCTCTCGGAAGAGGAGTCGCCCCCCCTCTCCTCCTGTTCCTTTAGAGCCTCCTCTGTGGCGTACTTCTGGATGTACTCTGAAAAAGACACACATGGGAGACATGGCTGAGCAACGCTCTGGAACCGCTGTCATTGAAATACTTCAGGATGAAATCTATCGCGTTCAACTTTTATGTGTGTATAAAAAATTTAATCTGAAAATCAGGCTATAAAGTTGTCGCAGTTTCCACATCATTTTGCAACATTTGAGGTGTTACTGACGCGTTCTAATAACTTCATCCCTTTGTGCCTCTCCTCTGACAGTTAAACCGCAAAGGGAAGAACAGGCACTGGCCATTGTTTATCTCAATAGCAAACTCCTTATATTGGCTTTACAGTAGTGAATGGAAACGCGCATTAAATTTCCATTTTATTTTGCAGATTTTAGACTGCGGTCAAAAACAAGTCTCCTAATAATGTTTTCTGTTGAGATATGAACTGTATTAGCCCGAGATGGCTTATGATTAAAGTTTAAACTTTGCAAATGTGAGTTGAATCTGTGTAACTTCTTTGGAAATCCCAAGTTGCATTTTGGAATAGTTAAAATCCATAAATATTGAGAAAAACAGGGATACCGTCCACCAGGGGTGTCCAATAGGTCGAACGCAATCTCAAAGGCAGTACCTCTCAATCGCTTGCCATTGATAAAAAAAATGACGTTGTGATGTCATGCGCGGTCTACCGCGGGAGACGACCGAAACTAACGCTTATTAGCCATCCTTGCTTACTAACGGACGCATTTAATTTCATTCCAAAGCCACCCAGGATGACTCCAGTAAGGTAATGACCAAGAATGTGCGGGATGCTTGTGACGGGTTTCCTCCTTCTGACAGATGAGAGGCATATCGACTCGTTATGCGCTGTGTGGCCACCCCTGTTCTACACTGAGCCTACTCATTTTTTTTATCTTAATCGCCTCTGCCAATTTTCAGCGTTAGACTCTTCTGCGCTACCTTGGATCTTTTGCTTATAATCCTCGGGTCGGTGCAGGTACATGGCAGCTGCGTCCCCATTCAGAGGATCGATGGGGTTTGGGTAGGCGAGCAGCTGAGGGAGGAACGACTCAAAGATGTTGGTGAGGTCTGATGGATACGGAGAGAAAGATCAGGTCAGCGCAGAGAACCACAAAGCTACAGAGAAACATCAGCAAGCTGGATGAGAAGTTATCACTGTGACAGATCTTGTGTGCCGTTACAACACGGTCCACTAGAGATCGCTCTTGCAATGACATGTTTAAATTTAAACAGCAGTCTTGTATTCTGGTCAGCACTCATTCATCTTCTGACTTGAAAGTGTGAGTCAAGGCACAAAAGCAGGTGATTGGATTTTATCGACTTAAAGATTAATTACGACTGTGATATGTATATACACACACACACACACACACACACACACACACACACACACACACACACACACACACACACACACACACACACACACACACACACACACACACAGTAAAGGAACTGGTTAACATCCGGCACAAAAGAGGCATTGTGAGTGAAGGGCGCTCCGGTTCTGACAGCGCTCCCAACGCCACACACACTCTAGTTTAATAATTGTTACAGACTTAAAAAGTAAAAAATACATTATTACATGATACATTTTTGTAGCATTTTATGTGTGTGTCCGATTAAAATAGTGTCAGCTCTGGTTTTAGAGAAGTACTGAATTTTAATTATTTTTATTTTTTACAGATAGTCATCAATTAATATCATTTTTGGACATTTAATATGTCATTACGGGTTTTTTAAAACACCGCGACAAAATGATAACTGTTGCTAATTCAGATGAAGGCTACTGACTATATAGACTTTCATAGGCGTCAGCCGTTCAAACAGTTAGTCATCATTATTATCTTTAATTATTATCTTTGCTAACCCCTCATTACACCGCTGTCACCCCTCGCAGCCACTTCAAAAGACATTATAAAACGAATGCAATTTGTTTAAATATTGACATAACTAACAATATGACTCATAGCTTCATTAAGTTGAGACCTAAGACTCAAAATGTAAAACCGGGAGAACTGAACACAAGATCAGAAGTTCACTTGAAGTGAGTGTTTTCCTCACTGTCTGTTCAGAGGCCTCTCAGCCTCAGGACCTTTGCTCTGTACATGGCCTCAATACCAGCAGCAGTTATCACTAAGGTGTAAGCTGATTAAACTGGGATGCTCTGTCCAAAGCTGCACTGTCGAGGCTGCTTGTTTTGTGTGTTTCTTTATCGGCTCTTACTGTCAGTTCAACCGAGTGGTCGGGGGAAACCGACACTCAGTCACAATGAGAGCTGAGAAGGTGTGACCTACCGTAAAGAGCTGTCCACGTCTGGTTGATGACATCTAAACACACGGTGCCTGACCTGAAAACGACAAAACAATGTAAATAAAGCAAAGCAAGAAAAAAACATGACTGTAATTCATTTCGTCTATGGCGAACAAGAGGATATGCTTCAGGAAACAATATTTGTATGTTTGTAAGTATGACATTCTCGGCATGTGGCTCTCAGGTTGCTAGCTGGTTGATAAGTGTATAAAGCTATGCGTCAATCACTACAGTAGGACCTACTTACGCTTCATCGATGTTGGGATGAAAGATTTTATTCATGAATCCTGCGAACAAAGAAAAAGTAGATTTAATGCTTGTAAAGAAATATTCACGACTTCACCACAACACTTGCTAGAATATTTCATACCTATTGAGGGGGATTTGAAGGGATATTTATCCGGTAGGTCAACCCGGACCTTCCAGACACCTCCTTCGTACGATGCTGGACAAACGCATGAATATACACTCACGTTAAACACATTGACAAAGTATCACAGGGTCCCACAAGACAGTTCAACAGATGTTAAAATTAACACAGACTCAATGCTGATCGAGTACACCAGTAAGATGTCAATGAGGAATAATCAATGAAACCTTTACTTACTTTCAGGAGGTCCGTGAAACTTCACAACAAATTCATTGAGTCCACTGAGGATGGTGACCTCATGCTTACTCTCAATGCTGACGTTTGGTTAAAGAAAAGGCTCAATGAAAACACAACAGGAGAGGCAGAGAGTTCAAACACAAAAATGTAACAGGCTGCTGGATTTACATTTTAGGGTCAAACGCAACATCTCTCTCTCTCTATCTGAACTAGTCCGGGCTGAAGTCAAACAGAGGATCAAAAGCATGAGAGAGGGCAATGAGATCAATAAAGCTGTGTTGGAAAACCTTCAGGCCTTCAACCACCTTTAATGTAAGGTGGAACGGATGGGAGTGTTGGTATGTTTTGCTGGTAACTACAGCTGAAGGAGATGGGCGCTGACAATATTACAGCGTGTGGGGACAGAGACAGACGTGAGAATGAGACATAAAGGTTGGTCGCATTCAGTCTGTGTGAGAAAAAACAACTAGAACAAAAAAGGCACTAGTGAAGTGTGAATCATCCTGTAATAAATCATTGTATCACCTCTATCTCCACAATCTAACCGAGAAAACACATGTCTGCTAATTTAGCCAAACCGCTGGAGCCCAAATAACATTTCTAAACAGCTTATCGGGAGGCAAAATACCTACAAACCGAAGAGACTGTTTCAAAAGCTGTCACTCCCTACCAAAAGGTTCGCCACCCACCAAGAAACAAGACAGGGAAGCTCTGTGTGATCAGGCCCATTTACTGCAGGAACAATAAGCTTTCTTTGTATTTTCCCTTATTTGCATGTTTTTATAGACATGACTGCCCACGATCATGCCTAGCTGTTCTCTGTATCTTGGTGTTATTATCACCATGGGACCATGCCTTCATATTCTTTTAAGTTCATAACCCAACTAATAAACAAGTTTACCTGTGTATAAAACTACCTGCACTCGGAGAATCAGACATGCATTGAGAGGGTTAACGACATGGTTATTATACTGAGCTATAGATGTTAAATGACTAGATAATGATATTTAAATGTTACGAATAGAATAAAGAGATAAGTTATCAGTCAACAGTGATTCAATTTGATCCATTCCTCTAAATTAAATGTTTTGCAGTATTCCTTGATATTTTCTATTCATAAACTGTGTCTGAGTGATTGAGTCAAAGACCAAATAAGTTTTAATGTAAAACTCAAACTTCTTAAAAAATAACTATTTCAAACTTTTGTTTTTATTCCCTTGTAACATTTGAGGTTAAAGGTAATAAACTGTTACCTACCCAAGCATCAAAGCTATTTGTGCCATTTGTAGCTACAAAGGATTATTAAGTAAGATTTAAACAGCTTGATTATTTAATTATTTAGTTCACCTACCAGAATTACCAAAAAGAGGACAGGATGATTTCTTCGAATAGCTGGTTTTGCTGGCCAAGAGTCCAAAAGCTAAAGATATTTAGTTCATAGAAAAGAATTAAGCCTAGGAAAAAAAAGTAATTTTTTTGTGTAACAACGCATAACAACATGTTGTTGCATAAGTACACTATATAGCACCGCCCTGCCATGAACTGGATTTTCCAAGCCCCAGCACTGCACAGGGCCCGTACAGCGTGCTTGTTTTTCCTCGATCAGCTGTGTGTTAAGCCCCGCCCTCTACCATGTTCCGGATGGTAACAGGCGGACCAATGAGAGCGCAGCATCTAGCTGCAGGACAAAAACAAAACAATTCAACTCACGCTGCCAGAAATCCCTTCACGCAAACTTTAAGCAAAAACGACAAAGAGATATAATACAAAAAGTAATTTTAACAAAACACACTGTGGTATAACGGTTTGGAGAAAAATGTTAATATATATAAATTCGGACATTTCCTTCCACTTTTGGCATCGTTGAAACGTAATCTAAATATAAATAAGCTGTATATTCTTTCCTCTAGAACGTGTGACGTGACATGCGAACCGTAAAGTATCCAACACGTCAACTGACGTTGGTTAGGTTGTTTATCTGCAATTAGCAAGATGTGTTCCTATTGGGGTTGCATCAGAAAGCACACCAAAAGTTTAAACATGGTCACTGTGTTCACTAACTATAATGAACGGTAATGTGATTAGTTAACATTATCTGTTGACTTCGTCAAAGATCGTCTCTGCTCGTTACGTCGGCGCTGTTGGTTTTCTCTAGGCGATAGCGGGCTAACAGCTAGCGACATTTACCTTAACGTCACTAAAATCACGGCAAAATAAACGTGTCTTTCCAAAGAAGCCTTTCCAAAATGTAAAGTAGTTTTAGCGTGTCGTTCGTATCGCGTTGTCAGTCCGACTGCACCACAAATTGTTGGCTGACACGCCAAGTTATCGCTTCACAGCTAAGGCTAACGGCGTCGAATGCTAACACGGAGCTTTCCAGCCGACGTTGTATTGCGACATTTTTTCCGTGGCGAATTCTCGATTGATACAAACAAAAAACAGCGTCGCTACTTTGTTAGCAAGCTAACGTTAGCCAACAGGCGAATGAGTTTACACACACACACACACACACACAAAAAAATAACAGCGAGTGCAATTTAGCTTCCTGGCTACTGCGCCAACTTAACAGCGAGCTAGCTAACGTCTAACCAACGGCAGGCTCGACACAGCTACACATTAATACCGCCGAGGTGATTAACGCTAACATTAATACACACTTGGAACCACGTATCAATAACACCGCGACAGCTAGTCACCGCCTCACAGCAGCCATCGGGAACATACGCGACATTTCACCAACGGTTATTTAAAAACAATCCCGTTTCATTGGTCTTTTTTTTCTTTCGGCTCGTTGTTTATGTTCAGAAAAAAGGATACAGTTTCACCACGTCGGTATCCATTCGCCTCTTGCCCGGACTTGGAGACGACATCTCGTATTCTTTCCGATGATCTAAAAATACTGCGACGATAAGGCCGCCTCACCTTTCAGCTCAAAATACCTACAAGCCCTCGGGACTGTATCAACAACCTTCCCACAGTGTCCCCAAACAAGACCCCAGCTGCAACATCGCCCACTTGATCTCCTGACCAGCTCTACCTAGTTGTGTCCTGTCCTGAAGACTCTCTATCTAGTTCTCTCTCTTTCTCTATAGTTCTCTCTCTTTCTCTCTAGTTCTCTCTCTCTAGTTCTGTATCTAGTTCTCTCTCTCTGTTTCTCTCTAGTTCTCTCTCTATGTCTCTCTCCCTCTCTCGCTTTCTTCCAATGACATCAACCCACAGAGGCCAGACTGAGGAGAGGAGGGGCTCAGCTATAGAAATACACTCCACAGAGCTGCACGACTGCACTGTGGGCATGTTATTTATGACGGCGAATACAACTGCGTTGATCCTTCTCGAGAAGATGCGAGTTTAAATATAGTATCTTTTCCGATTTGGTTTTGTAAATGAGGCTGGTCAAATAGTACGCAAAGATACTATGTCGAAAATAAATGCGTGCCTTTCTATCATGCCAACGTCTATGAGGAAATTAACTTATTGAGGCCAAAGTTGTGTTTCTTTGCAGCCACTGAATCCAAGAATGATAGAAAGTTTAATATGAATATTTGATGAGTATTTAAGCTTTTTGTCACACACTTTATATTGGTAAGCATCCGTTAATTGGACATGCATAACATGCCCAGTAGGTTATATTCTACAAGGTCACCTGATGATACCAGCAGTCTAATATAACAGAAGCTTATTGCAATGCATCCTGTGGTCATCAAGTTAACAATGTCCAGTTTTTTATTGGTTTGTACTTTATGGTTAGCTTGGGGCAAGATAGTTTATGCTGCGGTTCGATATTGCTTTACTGTGAACAGCATTTGTAACATTTAGTCTTGCCTCATTGTTATTTGCAATTGAATGTGTTCCCCACATCTGGTACATCGATAAAACCAACAAAACCCTGTTCCACTTGACCTTTAAATCAAACTCAGCTAAATGTTTATTCCCCCTTAACCATCCTTAACCAAATCTCCACATCCTATGAAAAGAGAAATCGAAACCAATCTAAAGTTAGTAAATTACTTAAGGAAAAAAGTGAAAAAATGTGAAAATTGAAGTCAAATCAAGAAATGCTCCCACATTTGTAAGCTACATGCAAATGTTGCTATATTTAATGTTTTGTATTGTATACGGTTCATTCACATTGTTATGGTATTCTGCTCTATATGAAACTGTATTAACCACAGCTTGAGGAGTAGTAAATATCAACCCAGTAGTAAGTCTTAACAAAGTACCTTGAAAAATCTCAAATGAGGTGAGACTGTTGTCGGGTGGTCATATAATGACCTCCTGAGGTTACGAGACCCCGCTTCTCATACGATGACAACAGCTAGTAACACCATTTTTTGCTTTGCTAATGCTGATAACTGTGTTTCTGTGGAGCCAAGAAGAAAGCCCAAAAAGTGTCTTACAACAGCTTTTCTCTTTCTAAGTCACTCGCACTACTCTTTGTCAAATGTCACTAATTGAGTAGTTATTTACATGAGTGTGTAGATGTCTGTGTTGGCGTATTAAGGGCATGGTGGATTTTAAATGGTTTTAAAGGTTTAAACCATTGCTCGCCCCCCATTAAATTGCATAGACATGACAAAGTCTGAATTAATGACCCTTTCTTAAGTTCAAGTCCGATCCATGATTCCAGAAGTTGTTTATTGGCCTTCCATGTTTCCAGGTAAATATAAAATAACATTTTTAAGGGCTAGTTTACATGGCAGAACCGAATGGCATTATTCTGATTTGCTTATTAATTTTGATCTCTTTGTGCATTAACAAACGGATGTCGTGTTTGTACCTCAGTGCATCAGTCAGATTACTTTGGATCAGAAGTGACGACCTCCATGAATCTGTGAGTAGATCACTGTAATAAACCAAGAAGTCAAATCATCTCCTGTTTAATCTCATCAACACAGCTGCCACTCAATGTTGAGAATCTGTTGATCCCCCATCACATCTCATAGACTGGATCCTCTCTCTACTTCATAGTTTATTGAATAATTATTTGGAGAGGGAATGTTACTTTAAGAAATGACGCTGACACTCTTCCTGCTGAAGGCCACAGGGTAATCGTTAGTAAATACAGTGATGTTTAAACATTTTGTGTGCTTTCTAATGCTACCCCAATAATAAAACATCTTGCTCATTGCAGATAAACAAAACCTAACTAACGTCAGTTTACGTGTTGGATACTTTACGGTACACATGTTTATCACTCGTTCTAGAGTAAAGAATATACAGCCTAATTATATTTAGATTACATTTTAACAATAATGATGATAAAGTGTGCCAGAACATCTGGTTAAGATTTTTACGACAAGTAGGAATCTTGTAAGGGACAATCGACATGAACCTCTAATTGATTGATTGGTGCATTGTGAGCACACAGGCTAAAAGTTCAAAACAAAAAAAACTTTTTGTAACCACTACAAGGTCCGAACAGGCAGCAATGTTGTCTTATGTTAAACATTAACAAGATTGCGTTAACATAGCATAAATGTGTGAATTGTAGGAAAATAACATCAAAAAGACAAAAAAAAGTGTGTGTGATCTTTTCATGATCACTGGTCACTGATACAACTCTCTTTTAAGATTCTTAATTAGGCGCTGCTTATTTTCACACAGTCCATATGAGAAAGGCCCAAGCAGCTTCTCGTGGGATGGATCTGTTTTGCTTCTTCAGCTTTCCCCTGTGAGCTTCAAATCCAGATTACCGCATGAGAGCGAAGCGGACCCAGAAGATCTGGGGGAAAGGTTGGCTGTTGTTTCAGTTGAGCGAGATGGTGGGACGGTTGAGTGACCGTCCCACCATGTGTTTCCCTGGTAGTAACAAAAAACGTTATTGTTTATCTTTACTTTGATAAGATTGTGATTTGTGTGTTTTGCAGTATAATATTTAATAGACATCTTCAAACATTTTGTTTGTGAATTTATATCTTGACATAATGCTACAGTCCTCAAGTAACAGTAAAATACGTTCCTGTGACATTCATGATCTCAATGATCTCAATAGTAAAATGTAAATGTAAGCGAGGCTATCTTTCGGCTATTCTTGAAATGCGATTTTATATATTGCACTTCAATATTCTGAGACGCTTCCGCTTTGCGAAACATAAACATCACCGTGGGGCTCTTGAACGCGACACGAGGAGGTCTCCGCTCCTCTGATTGGTCGGTTAAGGGACAGCTGGCTGTGACGCTGCGGGGCAGCAGCAGCAGCAGCAGATGTGCCCCGCGAGCGGGTGTTTTTTCGGGAGGCGGCGGCGACGGAGGAGCGGAAAAAACATTTCGGAGAGCACGCGGTCTGGCGTAAATCACGGAGAAATAGTATCAGCTGATTGTGCATAAACTGATCTGTGACTGGACTAAGGATGGGAGAAAACAGTGATGGAGAGAGTAGGAGTGAGGATATGGAGTACAATAACTGGACTGAAGTAGGGAGAAATAAACGAGCCAGGAATCGTAATAGTGTATCTGGTAGTAGTTTGGTAGGGAGAGAGGAAGGCAGGGGGATGAGGAGGAGGATTGTTGAGAATGTAGGGTTCAAAGTCATTTTGAGATTCAAGGAAGTTAATGATATTAGGAAAGTGAGTCCGGTGGCTCTGACCCGCGGGTTGAAGGAGAAAGTGGGTGATATTCTGATGGCCAAGGTGCTGGCTGATGGTGGCTTGTTGATCGAATGTAACGATGAGGAACAGAGAGAGAAAGCAATGCAGCTGAAAAAAGGTGTGCATTATGGTGGTTGAGAGTGCTAAGAAGATAAGTGACGGGCCCTTCGTGAGAGGAGTTATATTTGGTATCCCAATGGAGGAAAGGGTGGAAGATTTGAGATCAAGTATAAGAGGTGGGAAAATTATAGGGATTAAACGTCTGCAAGTAAGAAGAGGGGGAGAAAGGGTTGATAGTTTGTCAGTGTTGCTGAATTTCCAAGAGAGGGTGTTGCCTGATAAAGTCACTGTGGGATATATGAGGTACAATGTAAGAGCTTGTGTCCCACCACCGTTGAGGTGTTTCAAATGTCAAAAATACGGACATATTGCAGCAGCGTGCAAAGGCAAACAAAAGTGTGGAAAATGTGGAGGGGAACATGAGTATGGGAAATGTAAGGACGGGACAGAGCTCAAATGTGCAAATTGCGGAGGTGCACATAGCGTGGCCTATGGTGGGTGTGAAGTAAGAAAGAAGGCAGTGGAAGTGCAGCAGCTAAAAGTGAAAATGAATATATCGTATGCAGAAGCAGCAATGATGGTTCAGAGGGAGAGTAGAATGGAGAGAGGGGGGAGATATAACAAGGAAGGAACCGTCTCAGCAGGCAAATGAACAACCTGTAGCAAAGGGGAGACGGGAATGTCTTGACAATAAATAAGGAAAACTTTGTATATTCCATGGTGGAAGTGCACATTTCAAGCAAAAGAGAGATCTGAGAAGATTGAAATAATAGTAAAGAGTGCAGCAATATATTTAAATATTCAGGGGATAACTGGGATGGCTGTTCAGGAAGAGCTTAAAAAGCAGGAACAATTAAACAAAGAATCAAGTTCACAGGAATAGTCATAATGTTAATTCTACAGTGGAATGCAAGGAGTCTGATAGCAAATGGCCAGGAATTTAAAAGTTTTCTTAATGGGGTAGAATATAAACCGGATATAATATGTGTTGAAGAGACATGGCTTAAACCAAGCATAGCTTTTGTGATCCAGGGACATGTGTGCATAAGCGGGGATAGAGAACGGGGTAATGGGGGAGGATGTGCTACCTGTGTTAGGCAAGGAATTTCTTATCGAGAAATAGGAATACGAAAAGACCTAGAATATGTCGTTGTTGAAGTGTGGGTAGGAGATGAAAGTTTGATCGTGGTAAACTTCTACAATCCGTGTCAACGATTGGAGTTGGAAGCATTAGAGGCAATAAAAGGGATTAGACAGAAGAAGGGTTATTTGGTGTGGTGATTTTAATGCGCATAGTACTCTCTGGGGAGGGGAAAAGACTAACAGGAATGGATTGATAGTGGAGGAGGTGATGGACTCCTTGGGACTGGTATGTTTAAATGATGGGACTTTCACAAGAATTAATTACAACTCAGGTAAGGGGTCAATTTTAGACCTGACAATAGTATCACGGTCATTGGCAGGTATTTGTGTGTGGGAGGTATGGAAGCATTCAACTGTTGGAAGTGATCATTACCCTATTTTCTAGTAGAAAGAGGATGCAGGGTGGGGGCAGAAGATACAGCAGAAAGGTGGGTATTTGGAAAGGCTCAGTGGGATACATTTAGAGAAATCAGTGAATCAAGGTTTAAAGTTATAGATAGAGATCAGGATATATAAACATATAATAGAAATGTGAGAGATGCAATAATTGGAGCTGCCAAACAGGCAATTTTTAGGAAAACCGGTACAAAGAGGCGGAAGTTAGTCCCATGGTGGAATGATGAGTGCAGTGAGGTAATAAAGAAAAGGAATAAGGCTTTTAAGGTCTTAAAAAAACACCCATAATTTCATCAATTTAATAGAGTACAAGTCAAGCAGTAGTACGGAAAACTATTAAAGAAACTAAAAGGAAGTATTGGAGATACGGGAGAAGCACTTCAATCAGTCAAGTTTGGGGAATGATTAAGAAAATGAGTGGAATAAAATGGGAGTGCGGGTATCCAGTATTGGCAAATGGCGGAGTGGTGGCTAGCGATGATGAAGCAAAGGCAGAAATGATAGCTAAAGCACTGATTGAGGTCCATAGTTCTGCTAATATGTCAGAGGAGAGTTTAAATGGAAAAAAAAAACATGTGAAGCAAATCAAGAATTGTTGGAAACAGATGAAGGGAGGGAAGATTCAATTAATGCTCCCTTCACTTTGGAAGAAATAAACAGGGGCAATAAGAACATCAGGGTAACTGCTCCAGGTAAAGATCAGATTTGTTACATCCTGTTGAACCATTTGTCAGATTTAGCACTAGCGGTGATTTTGCATTTGTATAATAAAGTTTGGCAGGAAGGACAATTACCAGGACTTTGGAAACCAGCAGTGATTGTACCAATCAGGAAACCAGGAAAAGATCCCACTAATCCAGCAAACTATAGACCAATAGCATTGACTTCCCACATGTGCAAAGTCATGGAGTGAATGATAACCGAAAGACTAACTAACTAACTAATATCAAAGTGGGTTTAGAAAAGGAAGGGGAACAATGGATCCAATAGCGTGTCTAGAAGCAGAGGTGAGCAAGGCACAAGTGAATAAGGAAGTAGTTGCAGTATTTTTTGATGTGGAAAAAGCATATGATTTACTGTGGAAAGAGGGACTATTAATCAAAATTAAGAAATTAGGAATATCGGGTAAAATGTTCAGATGGAGTAAACCATTTTTGGTGGGGCGCTCAATAGAAGTAAGAGTGGGAAGGTGTGTGTCGGCCAGCCATTTGGTGGACAATGGAACACCGCAGGGAATTGTGATTAGTCCGTTATTGTTTTCAATAATGATTGATGATGTATATGAAAATGTTGCACATAATATAGGGAGATCTTTATTTGCAGATGATGGGGCACTGTGGAAAAGAGGTAGGAATGTGGAACATGTGGTGAAACAGATGCAGGAAACAATCAAAAGAGTGGAACAGTGATCATTGGAATGGGGATTTAGATTTTCAGTGGAAAAAACAAATACCCTTTTCTTACAAGAAAGAAAATTGGGACAATGGGCAAAATGTATTTATATGGGAAGGAGCTGAAAAGGATGGACTCGTACAAATTTTTAGGAATGTGGACTGATGCGAAGCTCACCTGGAAGGGACATATTGAGAAAGTGGTTAATAAATGTAAAAAGGTTTTAAATGTAATGCGATGCTTGGTGGGAACAGAATGGGGAGCTGACAGGGCTGCTTTAAAAGCTATATATGGGACTGATCAGACCAGTAATAGACTATGGGTGTGTGGCTTATAGGTCGGCGTCTAAAACCATGTTGGGAAAATTAGATGTAATACAGGCAAAAGCATTAAGACTATGTAGTGGGGCCTTTAAAACAACATCAGTGCCGGCATTGCCGTTGGAATTGAGAAGGCCACAAATAATGATGACATATTGGGCCAGTCTACAAGGACATATCAATCATCCAACAATAAGTGCAATTGAGCCGTGCTGGGAACATGCAGTTAGGTTTGTGTGGGTCCCTGCCCATGTTGGAGTCGAGGGAAATGAGGAGGCGGATAAAGCAGCAAAAAGGGCGCTGAAGAGTGGGAGAAATATAGTCGATATAAAGATGAGTAAGGCAGAAGCTAAAGGGGTGATTAAGGGACAAATCAAAACGATATGGCAGAATGAATGGAATTAAGGGAGCAAAGGAAGATATCTGTTTAAAAATAAACCATTGGTTGGGAGTGTAGGAGCTGGTGGACGAAATAGAAAAGAGGAGAGGGTAATGACAAGGCTAAGAAATGGCCATACTGGTCTTAACAGTTCCCTCTATACGGTTGGGGAACATCGAAATGGAAGGTGCGAATACTGTCAAGAAGAGGAAACTGTGGACCATGTTTTGATGGCATGTGAGAGGTACGAGGCAGAGAGAGAAGTCCTGAGAAAGGGGCTGAGAGAGCTGGGAGAGGCAAATATAAGCGAAATACTGAAGAAGCGCATTTAGGGACAAGTGTTGGGAACTGCTTTTGGCATATTTAGAGAATACAAGACTAATAAATAGAATTCGAGAATTTTTTGTTTTGTTGTTTTGATTTGGTTTAGTTCTAGTAGAGGTTTAATTTCCTTAAATCCACACTCCAGATTAGTGGGTGGCGGTGAAGAAGAGGAAGAAGTGCCCCCCTGGCTATTGTTATTTTATTTGTTTTGTTCTGGTGTGATCGCTGCAGCTCGCGAAGTGGGTTCCGGGTCCAGGTCTTGGTGTTGGTGTGACCCCCGCGCGGTTTTCCGTCGAGATGTCGTCGCCCGAACGCGAAGGAAACATCAGTCAGCTCAATAAGTTTGAGAAACTGTCGTGGAGGCCCCTCAGCCGCGACTCCGGTGAGTAAACTCAACTCAACGCTCCGCTCCCTGGAGCACGCGACCTGCACAAAGCTACCTGAGATCCCGTTTACACGATGGGAAAACGCGTATATTTTCGTGCGTTTTGGCCTTTCGTTTACACAAAAACTGAGGTTTTATCACGGAAAACGATAATTTCTAAAAACTCCGGCCAAAGTGGAGATTTCTGAAAACTCTGTTTTTGTGTTTGCGTGTGAACTAGGTCCAACGGAGTTTTAGGTTGTCATTGTCAAGGTTGGCATAGTTATGATGGCGCCCTGGCCGTATTTATGCGGGTTCATATAAACAGAAATATTCGTTTCTGTAAATACCCGGCTATGTGTAAATGTGCCCTCAGAAACACCGCTAGTCCTCGTTTAGTCCTTCTCCGTGTCAGCGAGTCAGCTGCGGTCAGGGCTAGCTAGCTAACGAGGCTACGGAAGCTAGCAGAAAGTACCAGTCAGGGAATGAGCAGGTCTCTTAGAAAAGGTGGAGAGGAGGAGGAGGAGGCAGCAGCGAGCATTAGCTTCATGCCGAGGACACATTAAGCTTTATTTCTCAGGGACCATTTAGTAATTATTGGAAAATAATTGTGTGCAGTCAAGCAGCCTTCTTTTCTACGTGTGAACTCCATAAATGTGTGGACACCCAGACGGCCAGGAGAGACGCTATTAACGGTACCGACTAGTTCTGATGATAGACCCCGGAAGCGCAGGTGCAATGACTTTGTCTCTGCACGTGTCTCTTTCCGGTCACGTGTGTGATGACTGATTTGACACAGGCTCCAAGAAGCGGGCACGGTGGCTTCAGGCTCGGCGCATCTTCTCCCCTTCCTGCCCCAACTTGCAGATCCCCAACAGGTTTCTGAGAGAGGGTGCTGAGACTATGACCTCAATATCTGAAGGCCGAAGATAAACTGTGTCTGTGTGACGGCCTTGTTTCATACTTGTTGTCCTTCCCTTTTACTTTAAAGTAATTTGGTGTTAACTTGTCTGACATTGATTGCTTCGCGATGTCCCATGCTTACATCATCCCACCGACTCTCCCATTCGGTCTGTCTCCAAACCTGCTCGTCCCCCCCACAGAACATTGCGTTCCCCCGGCCCGGAGCGGACACCGCTGCATCGCGGACAGCACCAACCTGTATGTGTTTGGGGGCTTCAACCCAAATTTTCATCAGGCGGGCGGGTCAGAGAATGAGGACTACCCTCTTTTCAGGGAGCTTTGGCGATTTCATTTTGCCACGGCCACCTGGCAACAAGTCCGGACGGAGGGTTACATGCCCACAGAGCTGGCCTCGATGTCAGGTAAGGATTGGAGAATTAATCTCCTGCACAAAACCACATGTTGTCCTTTTACAGCCATATACTGGTATTATTTGAAGGTACCCCGTTGAGTTTATGACCACCAATACGACTGCGGGGACGTCGAGTTTCCTCCGGTAATATCTCTCTACTGATGTACAAGGGCATTAATGCCACGAAACACTGCAACGCACCAACAAAGGCAGAGAAGAAGATGACCGCTTTTGTCAAATATGTAAACAAGGCTAGTTTCAAACTGAAAATCAGCGTTTCAAATATTTAACAAGGAAGCGAAAGCACTTTGATTGTTGAAGCTCAAATTTGGTGAGTAACATTGAAGGTAAACAGAAACTTTGGTTGTTGACAGGAAAACCTGTTGGTCGGCTGACAAACTGTAAAACTTCTAGTGTAAACTAGTCTAGTGTGTTAACATGTCATTTCTAAAGTAAAGTGACCAAGATACAGTCTGTTATTTCTACAGTGATTTTAAAGCCATATGTGCATTGGTCAGATTGTGAGTGAGATTTAAGTTTAAAATCAAATCAAATTAATTGAATGAAACAGTCCAACATTGTAAAACCGTTTTTGATTTTTGAAATGTTGGCTTTGACGTCCACATGCATGGTCTTTGTTTCTATTTAATTGGCTCATTTCCACCTTTTTTTACTAGTAGTGGTCATTTCTATCTTTTTTTGTCTCAACTATTATCCACCTTCATGTAAGTGTCATTCATTTGCATCTTAATATACGTGCATGCTGGTTTAACATGGGAAACAAGCAATACGTGCACCATTTCATCAAAACACTGCATCCTTGGTGTCGGTAGTGGTCAAAAGTCTCAGTCTTCCTTTAATACCGTATTTTGTAAGCTGCAATTTAAAGCTTCAGGAAGTAAAATGTTCCACTATGTAGATTTTAACCGACCTTGTACGGGTTCTAAGCAAGCTGTCTAACTGTAATATAGAAATGCCTGTTTTTTTATGTTATCTCTCCATCTCAGCTGTTCTCCATGGCAGCAACCTGCTGGTATTTGGCGGCACTGGGATTCCATTTGGTGAAAACAACGGCAATGACCTCCATGTTTGCGATGTTCAGTACAAAAGATGGAGCCTGCTCAACTGCAGGGGGAAGAAACCCAACAAGGTCTACGGACCGGTGACAGTCTTTGTCTCTGTGCAGCTGCTTATTCTCTGTCTTCTCACATTTTAAAGTATTCGGCAGGAATTCGTAGCTCTGTATTCCGCGGAACAACATCCACAAGTGTTCTCCCATTGCAGGCCATGGTCATCATCAATGGCCACCTCTACGTGTTTGGCGGGACAACGGGCTACCTTTACAGTACCGACCTGCACAGGCTTAACCTGGCCACCCGAGAGTGGACCCAGCTCAAACCCAACAATGCACTGTCAGAGGTGAGACGGCAAGCAGTATGCAAATATAGGCACTTGGAGTATTGACTGTATATTTTTTCCAGGCTTTTGCCCTTATTCTGTTTTTCAGAGTGAGAGAGAGAGAGAGAGAGAGAGCTTGATTTTTACTGGGAGGGCAAAAAGTATTTAATGCGCCTGAAAGGAAAAGAGTTAATAACCATGTTTGGAAAAATCTAGGAAGTTTGATTCCGGAATAGAATTATAAACATAATGAAATGGAAAATGTGTTCTAGCCCTTTTAATATGGCTAAATAGTATTAGTTATTAGTCATTACTAATTGACTATTCATTTTGTGTTGACTTTTGCAGTCCAAGTGGACAAAAGTGGTTGCAGTGTTTCCGAGCAACAGATTCTTGATCCTTGAAATAACCAATTGTCTTGCTGATGGTCTTGCTCACGTATCCACTTCCTATAGAAGCATATATGTTGATTTGGGACAAGCTTTCATTTGATTGGTTAAAGTTTCACGCTGTACTTTGAAATGGACTAAGCATGAATGCACAACTTTACAGGTACTGACACGAACTAGCTCATGATGGACAGAGAATATACATTTTAGGAGGTGGGACTTCCTTGATGTCATATTCACTGGACCAGGTGAGAGAAGCAGGCAGATAGTTTGATAATAGTGTGCTGCCATTTACTACTTTTTACTTAATTATACCATTCGTCTTCAACAGATTCATGCATATAACTTGGAGACAAATTACTGGGAGGAAAGTGTCACCCAACCCGACGGAAGAATAGGTTTGTGATCCACTTTCTGTCGTTCCTTTTTCTTTTTTTTTTTCTCGTGGACAACACATTGAATTTACTTTGTCATTATCATGACAGGATTTCCTGCTGCTCGCCGTTGTCACAGCTGTGTGCAGGTCAAAGATGGTAAGGACTATTTAACGCAGCATCTTCTGGACACAACTTTCTGAAGTGCTTTTACCTTGACTGTCTCGCTCTCTTTCCACCTCCAGAGGTGTTTATATGTGGGGGTTATAACCGAGAGCTGATCCTCTCCGACATGTGGAAAATCAACCTGCAGACATTTCAGTGGACCAAGCTGCCTGCAGTGATGCCTGAACCGGCCTATTTTCACTGTGCTGCAGTCACTCCGGTTAGTAAATTGTTTACATCTGATGTGGTCAGCAGATTTCTCTTCTGCACTGGGTGAGATAGAAATCTACATCATTTTTTTTTAAAAACCTATTCCAGTCCAGGTTTGACAACTGAAGAACCAAAGGTTTTCTACTGGTTAAGCTGGACATAGAGAATATTTGGGGGTGCAAAATAGTCTCTCAGGTAGTTGTTTCAGTTCTAATCTCTGTTTGTATCCTCTAGGCGGGCTGCATGTATGTGCACGGCGGTGTCGTCAACATGTATGGGAACAGAAGGTCCAGCTCCTTGTACAAAGTGTGGTTGGTGGTGCCCAGCCTGCTGGAGCTGACCTGGGAGAAACTGCTGAAGACGTTCCCTCACTTAGCTCAGCTGTCCACGCTTCAGCTGCTCAGCATGGGACTGACACAGATGTTAATCCAGCGGCTGAAATGAACACCACACAGAGACAGGAGGAAGAAGTCGGCACTGATTAAAAACAAAAGAATCCCTCACGACTAAGAAGAGAGTCTGATGTCAGATGATTAAAAAAAAAAAAAAAGAAACTGAATGCCTTTTAAACTTTATTTTTAATGTAAAAGTAAGTTGTAAAAAACAAAGAAACGTGCAATGTTAGTCATGAGTTTCTTTGTATGTGGTGGTCAGGTTTCAGTTTGCATGAATCCATCAGACGTCATGCTTCAGTGTGGACACCTGAATCACTTCTCTCCCCTCACGCTCAACGTGTTATAGTGCATTCCCCAGGTTCTCGTGGACATTCATTGATTTATTTTTATTTATTTTTTACCATACACGTCTGTCGTGTGAGCAGGGAGGCAAAATAAATGTTGTGTCAAACATTGCGGATATTAACCTAAATTTCCATGTAGTTGATTAGACATCAACCAGCTCATCGGAAAAGAGCCACACAGCTGGTAAACAGATGTTATAACTGTGGTATCCAAAACTGTAACTAGGTCAATTATTTAAAGCGCTGTGTTTTGGCTTTAAGGGCTTTCTGATAGAATGCCGATATTGAACTGTGATCAAAAATGTACAGTACAAATTTTAAATGTTCCCCCTCGTCATGTCCCTCTTTGGTTATTATTCCACATTAAGGAAATGTCACAAGTTAATCTACCCACCAGTATCTCCTGTGATTCTCAGGCCTTTTTATTTATACGTTTTGGGCCTTCTGAATTTCCTAAATGCCAAGGGGTTTTCAGTCCTTTCAAAAAAAAAAAAATTGAGATGTTTTCTCCCCCCCTCCCCCCCATGTGATTCACTTCATAAGCCGTTGTTACTGAACCTTTCTGCTCATGAGTAATAAGGCGTTCAAATAACATTTACAATAACTTACATTTGTTACTTATTACTCATTGTGGTGCTGTTTTATTTTATTTTATTGTGGCAAAAATTAGCTCCTTGTTTTTTTTTTTCATATTCCATTTTTTAGTTCAGTTTATGCCGTAACTCCATTTTAACCATTTGTAATGTAACTTAAGGAAAGGACTTCGCTGTTCTGTGGTACTACTACTAAAATAAGTGGCACAGGATTGTTTTATCTAGTAACAAGGTAGAGTTGAGGCGTACTCAGGATGTGAAATACTGTGATCAGACTCGGTCTGAAGAGCTCCACAAACATTCACCATGGCAACCACAGTCCTTCTTGTGAAAGCAGATTCGCGCATACAGAGATCACATCAATGAAACCTTTTGCGGTTAAATACTGTGGTAACTTCGCAGCTGCTCGTATCCTGTCCCACCGTTGCCTGATTTTGCTCCTATTGTGTCTTCTGTTGTTTAAATGTCAACAATTAACTGATTACTTTTACGTTTGACATGTTATTGCCTTATTTATCTTATGAAGCAGCTTCCTTACATGCTCAGACTTAGACTCACTTAAGATTGAGGCGTTTGCATCATCCGGATGTTAATGAAAGTTCAACTGTCTCTTGCATGAAAGTTTGCTGTGCATGCCACTTTGCATGATCTCTCGGGAGAAAAGCTATTATGGCTGTAATGTACATTAGTTTGTAATTCCCGTCTGTAGTATCTACAACAATAAAAACACAGGCAGACAGTTTTTCAAATTGTTGTATTATCAGGTTCTTTTTCTTGCTTGGCACAGCCAGCCGTGCCACATTTTCCAGTGTCAGTGTTTTATCTAAAATAGTATCACTATTATCACAGACATTTAACATGTTTAAGTTCAAACGCATACAAAATATATTATAGCATTACCCTAAACAAAATATCAGTGCAGATACTTAACATTATATTATTAAACTGCATTGTAAAACAACTTTTTTACAAAGTTCAGAAGTTGTGAGTCTGAGGACACACAGTTCTTAAGTATTTTAACTTGCAAACTACATTTGACACTGGTTAAATATTCATACAACAGCTACCTGAGATTAAAACCAAATGTGTAAACTGTATAATTTAGAAACCGGCACGAAGTATGAAATACTTGTATAAAGCCAGGATTCACACACAATCATGTAGCCATGATGCCATGAAATCGTCATAATAATAGTGGAGTGATGTTCAATTTGCTTTTCAGACTCCTTCGAGCTTAATCAAATGTGTGAATTGGGCTGAAAAAGATTCGGTGGCCCGGTCAGCAGCCTGGTGGAGATGGAGCAAAGAAATACAGAGCCAGCAGAATGAGGTAGACGACCACCAGAGCTGTGCCTGTGTGGGGGAGACAACACGTAGAAGACATGCCAAGACATGTAGAAGATTACATTTCATCAAACCAACATCCTACATTTGCTGGCACGATTGTTAAACAAAACAGACCATGCAATAAATATGTGCCAACATTTTTTGTTTGATATTTTGAAATCACCAAGGACTGTTGTGGCATGAACTCTTGCAGAAGAACTTGAGAATCATTGACAGCTCAGCAAAGCTATCCGGATAAATGACTAAACCGGCCTCTTGGACGAGAGCAAAACAGAAAACTTACCCTGGAAATAATCCGACTTGCCGTCCATGAAGATGTAGTTTACAAGAATCACACTGAAGATACTCGCCCACAGGTGTATGTCACTGAACAACAGCACAAATCCCACGTCCTGTTAAGACGGAGATGATTACAGAGACTATAGAACAGAAAACAGTGGGTATTTCTGAAAAGGAATCAATAAACAAACTGAAGGGTGTCTTACATAGCAGGCATTAAATAATACGAGGATTGGAATCTGCAGCATGCAGACCTGAACAGCAATGCAGCTTCCCACCTCCAAGCTGAGAAAAGACAGATCATTAAAAATGTCCCTTCTTTTAAATGAGTGCCTCCCTTATCTTACAGGATTTTACCTGAGACTGATATTGTTTTGGAGGGCAAACTGAATCCCATTCACAATCTCTGGGATCTCAGGAACCATTGCAAGAACTGTCACACCAATGAAATACTGGAGAAAGAGAGTGAAGGTTAGGACCGTCGGAGGACAACAACCACAACAACAAGGAGTCGCTCAGAGGCGTCGACCTCCTGACCTGAGAGACGTTGGGCTGGTTCAGAATTGGCTGGATGTGCTCGGTGGCGAGATCCGCACAAGCAGACGTGAGCAAAGTGGCCATGATGAGAATGAGCAGAGACCTCCACCGGGACCAGTGGACCACTGCGCCAGGCTGGCCCGTCGCTGCGCGCGCGCGCACACACACACACACACACACACACACACACACACACACACACACACACACACACACACACACACACACACACACACACACACACACACAGGGTGTATTGGCCTTGGTAATCAATTCATTGTGTTGTAGTGGAATAATGCATGATACAAGGTTGTGTTGGCCATTACGGATAGTTTGGATGTTTTGAAGTTGGGTTGAATGAGGTATTTATCCAAAGTTAGTAGATCCGTAAATCACTGCAGAGGGTGGTGAAAACTGCCCAACGCATCACCGGTTCCTCACTCTCCACCATTGAGGCTGTCCAGAGCAAGAGATGTCTGCGGAGGGCACGCAGCATCGAATAGGACGGCTCTCACCCCAGCCACAGACTGTTTGCCCTCCTCCCCTCTGGGAGGCGCTACAGGGTGCTCCGTTCCCGGACCAGCAGGTTCAGGAACAGCTTCATCCCTGCGGCTGTCACTCTATTGAACTCTGCCCCCCCTGAACTCTGCCCCCCACACACACACATCTCCCTCAGTGACTGTACTTCCCCCCCCTCCACCCTGGCTTGACTGCCACACACCTTCCTCCAGCCACTGAACATTTACACTGTTATTGCATATCCATTTCTTACTGTTCATATTGCACAACTATTTCTTACTGTACATATCTATTAATTCACTTATTACACTTTACATATGCACATACTCTGCACTTTTTGCTATTTTGCACTTACACATTGCCTCAGTACTTGTACCCTGTGCAGTGACAATAAAGTTGAATCTAATCAGCGTTTCACTAGTTTGGCGAAAAGTACCAGATGAGCACAGAGGCAAGACGATGTCCTGAAGCAGAAAAATATATTTTTTGCAACCTATAAAAGTAATTATTTAACGATGACGTTGGCTTTCAGTACACAAAACACTGCTGGTCTGCTGCTGCCTCACTCAGTTAGTGTTACTGTGTGACTTGAATCTAAACTAATCCTTTATCACACAAAATCCACATGAATACAAAAACAAATGAGGCGGTAACCACAAACTCACGTTTTATACGACATAAAATGACTGGTTTTGGCAATAGCACTTATATTGAGTTTTTCTCTATTTTGCTTCTGTCCTCGTCCACAGCAGCACAGTATTTAGCTTCAGTGCTGCAAAATCTGGTTGTTTCTCCAAACGGAGGGTTGCTCAAGCACCCTCATAAGACAACCCCACTTCAAACCAACCAAACAATCCTTTCAGCTGTGATTCATGAGAGCGAGGCGCCTACCCTGTCCCTCTCCAACATGGATGTCATAAATGTGGGAGTGCGTCTTCAACGTGAATATCAGACCAATGATGTAGGCGGCGGGCAAGAGGGCGCACACTGTGTACACCAGGGGCCTGGCAACAGCATCACACACATACACAACAGGGAAACAAAGTAAATAGTTCAAAAGATTATACGATGGCTCATTCTAATTTTAGATGGATTTATCTCCTTCCAGACGGTCCAATTTTTGCATTTATTACACGAGAATGACAACGTTTAGAAGAGAGGCGTTGCAAAGTTCATAAGCTCTGGAGACAGTTTTAGAGTCTTCAATTTGAATAATAACAAATTTACATCAACTTCTTGAAAAAAAAGAGCCTCTTCATTAGTCAGCAATATATATGTGTACATAAATATATAATGAAAAAAAAAACCTTACTCAACGTGGTTGTGGAACAATGTACCATTGCTCTGTTGGGAGAAAATAAATCATGTTATGTATTACACAGTGAGAGTAATTCACACATGGTTTGTTATAAAGTGCTCGTTACAACGGGATGCTGACCAGATCGTAGTGACAGTTGCGGCAGACGAACTGACTGCTGTTTGTGCCGTTTGCTCCGGGCGAGTTGGTGCAAGCGTCACACACCAGATTTCCATAGGCTTTGGAGAACAACGTGGGGGCAAACACACCTGCCGTTGACCATCAGGGGGGGGTTAGTCAGTGCAAAAGAGTTTGGTGAAACTTATATTACATTCTGACTGATTCAGTTTTGCAGGGTGCAGCTTTTATTTTAGCCGTTATCAACTGTGTATCAGTTAATTATCAGTAATAATTACTTGACCAAGAGCAGAAAAAGCACACATTTATTTACAAAATCTTCAAAATCTTCAACAATTAATGTTTTACAGCCACTAGTTAACCAGTTTTATCCAAGAATTTAAAATCCGCTGGAGAAATATGTGACTCAATTATGTTGAATCTGTAACAACGTATTTTAGCTAAAAGCTGGTGAAAGTGTTGAGATGAAAACAAATACAGACACGAGGGAAAAAGCAGACGTGGCTGTAAGATTTGTTGCCTGCAGGTGGAGCAAGTCTCCAAATTGAAGCAGCCACCACTTTCTTTTGCCGCTGATTGTCGTGTGTGCAGCAGAGACCAAACAACTCCAACAACAACAGACAGTCAACATTGATCACATACTTGCCTCCTACGGAGATGAAAAGCAACGCAGAGCTCACTCCTGTGGAGCGACTGTTGAATCTTTGCTCGCTGTGTCTCAACCCTCCGATTATCATGCAGATGCCCTTAGAAAAAGGCAAACATAAAAGGCCCCATTCATGCTGCACATGCAGTCTTTGTGTATTTGAATGTGACTTCTGTCTCCATTGTGATGTAACGGATTGCTGAAATTTTACTGTGTTTTAAGGGTGTGAACTGTCTTGGGGAGATATTTTTATTTTTCATGATTGGGGAAGAAAATATACTTTAAAAAAGCAAATGTACCCTTTCTCTCAATTTACAAATGGAAATGTTTGTTATCGACTTATGGTAAAATCTGCACAATGCAGGATGGCTCACAGGGATGAAGAGGATGCATCCGAGCAGTGTGCCGGTCAGTGCGGCCTTAACAACCTCCTGCAGACACGGATTGGCTTCCCGGTGACCTCTGAGCAGGGCTGTGATGTAAAAGGTCAACTCCGTGATGGAGCCAAAGGTGGCGTTCACCACCGCACCCACTGCAAAGTTACTCTGGGCCGAGATACTGCAAGAGTCCAATAATCGATCAATCAGAAGCGGCTTTGTATGAAATTATGTAACTTTTAACATTTTTGTTACACTAGATGCATTGGGTATACATTTTGATTTATTTACACGTGTGTTTCAGTGAACAACTCACCTGGCAATGCCCATACCAATGTAATGAGACAGAGGTATGATGGAGCAGATTGCTATGGCAAACTTGACATTAGAGCTGGCGAATTGGTTTTCTCTGTCAATATATCCAATTACAATGGCAACTATTACTAGAGGGAGAAGGTCTGAGATGAGGGTCAAAGATGATAACAGGTCTTCATTTGACACACTGACACACTTCACGTACCCAAAGGTGAAGGATACTGACAGCGAACACGTTGATCCCATCAACAGTGTACTTGTAGTAATACCAGTTTGCAGCGTGGTAACAGCACAGCAGGGCTCTGGTTTCATAGACTGGATGCTGAGGGTCAAGTAGAAAATAAAGAATCCGGTCCATTAAACCAACACTGAATAACATCTCCAGGTTTATGTGCCGTCGGTGATTCATGTTAAATCTCTTCCTTGCCTTCCTCTCTGAGCAGGTGGAGACAGAGACATCCTCAGGAGCCAAGAGGAGGATAACGCCCAGTGTTCGTGCGTTCATCTTGAAAACGGGGATGGTGAAGACCAGGATCCACGAGAGGAAGCAGGCCAGGGAGTGGATGACCACAAGAGGAGGATATCCCAGCAGCAGCCACACGTAGGTCGAGAAACGACGCTGTGTAACAAGGAGAATGATTTCCATGGAGCTAAAATGTATATTACACACACGTTCTATACATACATTTTAAATTACCCAGTAAGCAGAGCGCAGAGGTCTTCCTGGCAGCTCAGGAATTGGCACCTCGGTAGGTGAAGGCAACAGAACCGGTGAAATATCTTCTGTCCCGTCTGTGTCACAATCACAGTCAGGTGCTTGTTCACAACACCTCCTCGATGGATTTCCAACCTGAAAAACCAAAACCAGAGGAAAGTCATTAACGCAACAACTTTACAATCCATCCAGCGTAATCGCAATCAATGGGCTTCCTGCTGTAAGTTATATTTATTAACATTTTTAAGTAATATTTTCAGGACTTGAAAGAATGTCAAATTAGTGTATAAAATACCAGAAGATAGTTTAATCACCACAAGGTGAGTCTGTGTTTTTTTCTGATCATCGGCCAAAAACCCTGTAGTAATTAAACAGAGAAACTGGCTAATCTTCACATTTGAGGAACTGGATGTCATTTCTACCTCATAGATAAAAAAAACAAATCAATCAACGATTATTCCACATTTAAGGAGCAGCAACTGCCAAACTAAAATAAAATGCTGGAGCCAGCAGATTATTTCCAGATAGATTTATTTATAATAAGTAAAGACACCCTCTCCAGGTTCTGCAGACCTGCCCAGGCGATCTGATGTTGTTTTGAAAATCCAAAATGTGGTACGGCCCTTTACAATTGATTTATAAAATCAACATTACAATTTTGAAATGAATTATAGGGCCTAAATTGTGAGATTTGTGGGATATGAAGAGACATTCATAGATGTAACGGCACTTCAATTAGAAATCCATGTAGTGCAGTTGGAGGGATTTGGCCTCCGTACGTTAACGGCTAAAATGTTTGTAAATGGGCAAGTTTGCAACACGTGGGTTATTGCTCAAGGTGTTGCTAAAATGAAGCTCCTTGTAAGACAGAACACTTATGGATGCTTGATTGCTGGAGGGACTCTGAGTTGGTCGGCTTGGGTTGCATGTGTTTCCTTCCATTTGGCTCCATTGTTGATAGAGAAGACAACACTGTTAGCAAAGCCCCTTTTTACAGCAAATATCTATTACGCAAGTAAACTCAAAACTCGGATCCATATTCTACGTGTCCCCCGTTTTGCTTTGTTTCGGGATCGTCTAAACCGGTGAATGTTTTGTTATAGGTGTCACTGCCAACCGACCAGCTCGAGGCCACAAAGACCCATGAAAAGGTTTTTGTGACCTAAATTGTCAATAAGTACTTTAATGTCATACTGTCCACCAACCCACTGGCCTGATCACGCATGCTATTTGATTTCCCTTTCTCACCCTACAGCTGATTTTGTGAAGTTGTCAAAAGGCTTAAGAATTCGTAGTCCTGAATAATATCAAGCATATGACACGATACAGCTCTGAAGCTTTTAAGTGGCTAACAAGAATATAGGAAGCTGGAATTGGAGGTTATTTGACATCAAATGAGGTGTTTTAAAAACACAAAACCTCCGCTTCATGTCAGTATATTGTTCACTGCGGGAGCGTCCAGGTCAAGCGGTTTCTGAACCAACAGGCTTTACGTTGCTTTGATGCAAAAGGCTTCATTCAAAGCACCGTTAAACATTACGATTTTTGCCAAACAGACAATCAAATGTCAGCAGGTACGTTTCGGTTGGGTCACTGGTATTGACGTCAAACTGACATCAAATATACAGGACACGTAAACCTTAATCTTTTCAGTGTCAACTACAAGCGCAACGACGTCTGTGTAACTACGAATTGCAGCAAACTGTTGCAGACTTGTGGTGTTCGTTAGCAAGACCCGTGCTCTCATTACTGTGCACCTTCCCCATTTCAGTTAGTGCTCAATGTAAAACATCCTGAAACAATCAACAGGAACCAAACTGTACCTGGTGGATTGACTTGCCAAAAGGCCAAAGGAAGTAGCAGGACAGCTTCCAGCACAGTTTACCTGAAGAGTGAGGAATGACTCAGTATGTGCAAAAATGGACATGATTATTCGTCTCTGTTGGTTGACCTACCATGCGCTACGCCAGCGATAGTGAGGAACATAAGTAGTCCGATAAATAAATATGCCAGAGAGACCCACCAACCGAAGAGGAGCACATACACCACGTTTCCACATGTGATGAGACGCCCTGACACCGTGAAGAGAAAACTACAGACATTAGTGAAATGTTTAGTACCAATTTGTTTTAGGGTCATTTGTATGTGAAGGATAACGCTGATTTATTACAGCCATGCTCATATTTTTGTGTCTCTGTCTGCATTGCTCTGATTTCGCTGATGATAAAGTACTCATGAAGTAAATTGAGGATAATAAAACATAATTAAACAGGTTAGACAAACTTTCGAAGAGAAAACAAAAATGTGCACAGCATAATTATTAGTCAAACAATCCTTTGTAAACTTCCATCACCTTGTTTGAAATCAGACCCATCGTTCTTGTCTTAGTTGTGGACAGGTTTTTTTGTGTAATTCATGATATTTTTCTCTTTGTGTGCGCTCGCTTTCGGTTTCACCTCCAAATAAAGTATGTGGCTGAACTGTTGGCATATTTACACGTTCGTCAATCATTTCCCAAGTTGAGACTAATAAGAATTATCCTCCAACACAAACCGAACATGCTACTTGCATTCAACAACCTGTACCTGGATGTGGTTTAATGACGTTCAGTTCGGAGTGCAGCTCTTTCACAACCTGTGATCGGACTTCAAACGGACGCGCCGTCACATGGCTCTTCCATTTTCTGAAACCAAACTGACACGGACACCAAATACTGCGTTAGGGGCTGTCATGAACCGTCAGGCCTGTTGTGCTGCACTCAAACCCCATTTTGGACCTCTCACCCTGTAGTTGTTGACCAGTTTATTGGCTTCCACTTCGTTCTCCGCTCTGATGGTCCTCTTTCTTTGGATCTCCTCCCAGCTGTCATCACGGGCACGGTGGTTCGGACCTGAAATCGGCGAGCAACAAGATGGCGAATACATGCATAACCATATCACTGTTAACAAAAATCTAAATAAATGAGTACTCACATGCATGTTCAGGCATGCATTGTGTCGTGCACAGTGCGGGACACGTGGGCAGGTGTGACGCGGATAGAGTGTCCGTGGAATGAGGTGGTGGATCTCTGCACAGTTGGTCGTGACTTTGTTCTGGATTGTCACCCAGCTTGGGATCACTTTCCGACGGAAGATCTGGAACCAAAAGGGCAAAAAACTAATTACACAAAAAAAAATGTAACACAAATTACAAACGAGTGTTTGCGGTAAAACTATTGTGTACCATTCAAAAATAAAGAGCACACTTTTAGTGGAGGACTTGGTTCTGGTTTAAGGATCTGGATCTGGTTTAAGATGTTTTGGGCTCTCACACCCTGAAATATTATCGTTGAACCGAAAACTGCCTCAGACAGCCTGACAACAGCTGGATTTGTTCTGAAGGGAAACCAGTGCCATGACACCAATAAAGTGAGGGATAAAAAAAAACGCCCTTCCATTGATTCAATCTTACTATACAGAACCATGATGAATAAATAAGTGCCAACAAACCGCTGGCTTGATGAGACGAGAAAGGACAATAACCTTTACTTCTCCTTTTAGACTGGTGAACAGCACCATCACACACTTTTTGGTCTAGTTTTATTTCCTCTTTTGGTATTTTTTTTCTTGAAGGCCTAACATAGTAAAATAGAAAAGTAGTATAGTGATTGTGTTAACAATAATTAATACACGTGTAGAAAGAGGTTGTTTTCAACCTTTGTACGTTTTGACTCATAGTTTTGTCCATCAGTGTGTAGAAGAAGAAGACGTGAAGGTTCAGAGTGAAAGAAAATAGTGAAAAGTAGGCAGCTATTGACTTATGGGGTATTATAGCATCGACCATGAAAGACCCGATGTATTTTCTTTCGTTGAGTATAACCGAAATAAAGCGAGGCATAACATAAAGAAAATGTGTAACGTATTATAATTAGCGCTGTATTTGTATATATGACATTTCGAGATAAAAACAGAGGCAACACTGGCGCGCGCATGCGCGTCCCCGCGCCGTGTAATCGATACGACGTCACCGACCCGCAACCGAAATGACGGCAAGCCGAACAAGCACAACGGCCCCCGTTGTCATATTTAAACTGGGGAACGCGCACAGCGGTGTTTTAGGACACGTTCGGCTTGTTACGAATAAAGTTTTTAGGTTTGTATTTGATATTTGCGCTCGATGTAAGCCTCGGCCGCTCACCGTGTAGCTGCTCGGCGGGCCTCCTTCTGCGGCTGCTCATGTCTGGGCTGTGTGCGGAGAAGCGAGACGTCTCCTCACCGTTAAGTCTAATGACGCTCGGCTCTCATTGCAGTCAAAGCGTCCGCTTTTCACGGCGTACACGCGACGGGGACGCACTCGTTCAGGATCGGACCGCGTGGAATTGTGGGAAATGTAGGCCGTGATGGTTTGACTCCTCACACAAGGATCATGAACCAGTGTTGTCTCTGTATCTTTATCCCGGAATTCCAATGTCAAACGTGCGCATTTTAATTATATGGTGCTGTAAAAAAGAAGAAGCTCGTAAATAGGTTCCAGCGGGGGAAATGAAGCAATGCTGCAAGCTAAATATACCTTTATTTAAATTTCGCTTTTCAAAGTTTTGTGAATCATCAACTGAGTTTTGTGATGCTAGCTAACTCGCTGTTGCATAGCAACACACCATCTTCACCTATTTAAAGTTCTCGTGCTGACTATCTTGCGAAGTTGACCTATAAACTTTAGTCAGTTTTTGTTTCCTCTGAATGGGACAGGGAATGTGCTCACAACCAAAAGAATGAAGGTATGACTAAACTGTCCAGCTCCAGAGGTCCAGTGTGGTTAAATGACCCCACTACATCACAACCAAAACTGTGGACGCATCCCAATGTCCCCCCTAAACCCTGAACCCTCAGGGACTTAAATGTTAACTTAAATGGTTGAGTGTGAGAGTCTGACAAGGCTTTAGATGGTGTGAAAATGAACGGAACAGCCCTTCGCTGCAGCATGCAAATTAAATATTCAATGAATATATTTGTAAACATTGTCTGATTTCATGCAGGTTTTTTATTTATTTTATCCTTATTGTTTTAATCAGAAGCCATTTATTGCCACATATGTCACCCATAGAGGAATTTGACTTGGTGCATTAGTGCAATATAGGAAAAAATATATGAATAAAATAAGATAATTCAAGTAAAATATGATTAAAAAAACATACTAGCAAGAATTAACAATGAAACCCGATAAGTACGTTAAAACACATATGTATGTCCATATGTTTCCATGGTGAGAAAAACCACTGTCCAAATGTTGCAGGGATGAAGTATTTGGGTCAATGGGGGACTCAAGAGACTTCAAGAGACCAACTGGTGTATACAATTCAATATAGCTCTACTAACTAACTGCTAATGCTTCCACTGGTTATCCCATTGTTAAAGTCATATTGTACTTGTCTGTAATTCCCTTGGGCGAAGTTACGGAAAGGGTTCATAAAGGGCCCAAACGGCCAAAGAGCCCTCAAACACTCAACAAGTTGACAGCGGCATCGGTCTGTGACCCTCTAGTGGGTCCCAGTTGCATTACAGATGGTGCGCATGAAAAACAGACTTATTTTATTACATTACATGTAATTTAGCGGACGCTTTTATCCAAAACGATTTACATTACATTTTTAACCCACGGTTTTTACATTTTTCCTGGGGAGCAGTTAGAGGTTAGGTGTCATGCTCCAGGACACTTCGACATGGGACATGGAGCAGCTGGAGTTTGAACCGCCAACCTTACAGTTCCCAGCGCACCCTTTCTACTCCATGCACCACCGTCACCGGTTTCAAGAACTTTATTGAGAGCTTCCCATATTACAAAGGTACAAAGTACACAGACTGCTGTTGCCTCTGTCAAAACAAAATACAGATCCAAGCTCAATATTGAGCAAAAATTCAAAGTGGCGGTATGAAGTCTGCAATGCTGTTTGGATAAGATTTAAGCAGGCTCTTTGCAGCCGCTAATACAGATAAAAAATGTTTTATCAGTATGAGATGGCTCATACATATGTGCACTAATTTTGTTTTGCACAGGTTGCACATTATTGTTGTTTTGAAAACATATGCATCAAGAAAGAATCAGAGTCCTAGCAAAATAAATATTTGGTGACAAATAAGGCTTGAGGCCACAAAGACCTTTGGAAATGTTTTTGTGACCTAAATAAATACTTAATGTCAAACGGTTAATCAAACAAGTGGACTGGACTTGGACTGGACGTTCTATTCCCCTTTTCTCACCCATACAACTGATCTTTGTTCAGGTTTATTTATTTATTTATACCCCTTAATTAACTTATTTCATATGAGAAGATTTTTGGTGGTTGATAAAACCTGGAATTGTTTTTTATTTGGGGTTTTAAAACATTAAGCCTAGTCAGCATATGCAACATTTGTACACTTCTATCCAGGTCAAACTGCTATTGGCAAATGGATATCATCTCAGTAGTGGCATAGGCACTGCTAGTTGGGACAGAGGTAGAAACTCAGGACTCAATATGGCAAAAGTCTGACCCACCGTTGTAAAACGATCCTGCACATACATAATTGTTTACATCCTTTTTTCCATCCCAAGAACCCAGGCCCTTTACCAGCAGCCACCACATCAACCGCATCCACTGCATACACCGCATCAACCACATCCACCGCATCCAGAGCATCCACCACATCCACCAGATCAACCAGATCAACCACATTCACCGCATCCAGAGCATCCACTGCATCAACCACATCAACCGCATCCACCGCATCCAGAGCATCCACCACATCAACCGCATGCGCCGCATCCGCTACATCCACCGCATCAACCACATCAACCACAACCACCGCATTCAGAGCATCAACTGCATCGACTGCATCCACCGGATCAACCACATCAACCGCATTCAGAGCATCCACCGCATAACCACAGCATCAACCACATAAACTGCATCCACCGCATCCAGAGCATCCACTGCATCCACCGCATCGACCACATCAACTGCATCCAGAGCATCAACTGCATCCACCGCATCCACCGGATCAACCACATCAACCGCACCGAGAGCATCTACCATATCCTACGCAGCAACCACATCGACCAGATGCACCGCAGCAACCGCATCAACTGCATTCAGAGCATCCACCGCATCCACAGCATCAACCACATAAACGGCATCCACCGGATCAACCACATCAACCGCATTCAGAGCATCCACCGCATAACCACAGCATCAACCACATAAACTGTATCCACCGCATCCAGAGCATCCACTGCATCCACCGCATCGACCACATCAACTGCATCCAGAGCATCAACTGCATCCACCGCATCCACCACATCAACCGCACCGAGAGCATCTACCATATCCACCGCAGCAACCACATCCACCACATGCACCGCAGCAACCACATTCAGAGCATCCACCGCATCAACCACATCCACCGCATCCACAGCATCCAGAGCATCCACCACATCAACCACATAAACTGCATCCACCGCATCCACCACATCCAGAGCATCCACTGCATCCACCGCATCAACCACATCAACCGCATCCACCGCATCCAGAGCATCCACCGCATTCAGAGCATCAACCGCATCCAGAGTGTCACGGTGCGGTTCTCGGTGGACCCCAAAATATCAAAAATCACACCACGACACAGAGCCTCCACCCCATCCACCGGATCAAGCGCATCAACCGCATCCAGATCATCAACCGCACCCAGAGCATCCACCACATCCACCGCAGCAACCACATGCACCGCAGCAACCGCATCAACCGCATTCAGAGCATCCACCGCATCCCCCCCATTAACCGCATCAACCGCATCCACCGCATCCACTGAATCCACGCATCATTACATTATATGTAATTTAGATGACATTTTTGTCCAAAGCAAAGAACACGAAACAAGAAGTGCAATTTCATCAACCACATCTACAGTTCTGTCTGAACAGTAATACAGAGCTGCCCCAACAAGCTTACATAGGTAGACTTGTTTATAGAGTTGGTAACCTTTTTGAAGTTGTATTTGTACTGCTTGCAATGGTTGATAATAACTATTGAACTCCAGCAGTAACAAAGACAAACTGAATCCTGTCTGAAACTTTGATCAGACGGAATGCATGATTTCGTTGGAGGGAGTATGCTACGTCTCACAGTGTTTCATGTTGGGCTATTAACAATCAATTATGCTGGTTCTTTAGTAGTCAGTAACTTAGCTAAATGCCAAGGTGGAGCACATTATCAACTAATCACATTATTTTGTTTTTTTCTTTTATCCTATAGTGCAATTTCTAGATTGTTGCACTCTTTAACATTGTGTCAAGTTGAGAAAAGCTAAGGTTGATATTTTTCACATTTATGGATACTAGCTCACGGATTGGAGAAAATAGATTTTTCTTTATGACCATTAAGTAATTTCCAGCATAATAATTGGTAGCAAAAGGAAAATATATTCCCATCACATGCTCTGAACTGACAAAAATTTGAAAAAAGTTTGATAAATCAGTAGATTACGACACAATGAGGTATGCACATATTAACCGATAAAGTACCATGGTATTGACATCAGTAAAATTGCATTGTGCATTGGAAGTGTGAGGTTGGTTAACAAACTCATTCAGTAGGTCGATCAACGTAGCTGCAAGTCCTTACAAGACATTAAGTCATAATTATTTCCATATGCTATTGTACAATTTAATTATTATAACTAAGTAATAAAAAATCATCCCCCTTTTCATTTGCTCTGAAGCCACAATACGTATGTAAACTCTATTTATTAGGTATCATGTAATGTAAAAGCCTTCCTAGATTTAAATATGTATATTTGGCTGAAATAACCTTCAGTGCATGCTCTTCTTGTAGTAGATTAAAGCGCCCCTGTTCAGGAAACTGTAACATGGTTATGTTTAAAATGAGGTGTTCACAATCGCATGTAAACCTATAAACAGACAAAGTAGCAAACTTTGTCTCAGTTGTAGAGGAAAGATGTGCACTAGCAAAATAAACATTTGGTGACAAACAACTTTTGAGGACACTGAGACCTTTGATAAAGGTTTTTGTGACCCAAATGTCTAAACTGTGAATAAATACTTTAATGTCATCCAACACAGTGACCTGATCTAATAGGACACATGGGTCTGATCTTGGAAAGTTGCCAAAAGGCTCATCGATCCTCCCACTAATAACACAAACATGACATAATACAACCCTGAGGCTTTTGAGTGGCTAAAGAAAAAAAATGGGAAGCTGTAATTGGTGGTAAATTGCCTCAGGGGAGGAGTTTTTTTAAAACCTCCAGGGTACTAACATATAAATGTAGCAGCATATACATCAGTAGTACACTTGGGAATTATCCAGGTCAAACTGCTGTTGAACCATGGCAAAGCTGGCCACCTCTTCTGTGGCACTAGCAGTGCTAGGGTGTGTACTATGGACCGTGGTAAATGCTCAAATCCCAAATTGGTCTCCACATCCTCATCCAAAGGGATACCCATGGCTACCAATCCCGCCTCCTGAAGATCCAACGAATCCTCCACCTCGTCCACCTCGTCCACCTCTTCCACCTCTTCCACCTCCTCCACCTCCTCCACCTCATCCACAATATCCAAAATATCCACCAATCTGGCCTCCTCATCAACATGAACATCAACATCATCATCAACACCATCAAGGTCCATTTTACCCGAAATATGACTTTAATCAGGATCAGCAGGGCTCTAAAACACCACAGAAACCACAGACACCTCAGATTCCGGATCCAAATGTGAAGCCTATCCAGAGTTGTGACGTGGATAAAAACGTGAGAGTCCCATGTGGACTTCCTGGCATCTCCGCTACTGGATGTGGAGCCATAAACTGCTGCTTTGACGGCAGTCAGTGCTTCTATGGAAAAGCAGGTGAGTTATTTTAAAAGAATGTCATTCAAGAGAACGTAATAATATGTAAAGAAGGTTTTGTGCATCTTTAACCTGTCAATGCTTGTTTCTGTGCCACCAGTCACCGTTCAGTGCACCAAGGACGGACAGTTCATTGTCGTTGTGGCCAGAGATGCCACTCTGCCAAGCATCGACCTCGAATCAATCTCGCTTTTGGGAGATGGGCCACACTGTAAATATGTGGACTCTAATTCAGCCTTTGTCATCTATAATTTCCCTGTTACCGCCTGTGGCACCGTTGTTACGGTAAGACCTTGATGTTCTCATCTTTTCAACCAGTCAAGAAAACGTTAAATGAGGCTTAAGCCTATTTTTACCCCACAACGACGTTTTCTTTTACCTTTTGTAGGAAGAACCTGGTGTTATAATCTATGAGAACAGAATGACCTCCTCATACGACATTGAAGTTGGGCCTCGTGGAGTCATTACCAGAGACAGTCACTTTCAGTAAGTGATTCTTATTTGAAGTGATTTTGTAATAACAGATCTGACCGAGCAGCGTATGACAATTTTCCCTTTTCAGATTGCTCTTCCAGGCTAGGTACATCGGTACCGCTGTTGAAACTTTGGTTGTAGAAATATTACCACTTAGAGACCCTCCCCTACCAGTTGCCGCTTTTGGACCAATCAGAGTAGCCCTGAGGTTGGCTAATGGACAATGCTCTACAAAGGGTTGCAATGAGGGTAAGTGAATGTCTGCCCGGCACTGTGCTGCTGTGTTTATAGATGTCTGGTATACTTACTGGTCCCTGCTTTCACAGTGGATGCGGCCTATACATCTTTCTATTCGGCTGCTGACTATCCTGTGACTAAAATACTGAGAGAACCTGTGTACGTGGAAGTTGAACTCCTTGAAAAGACGGATCCAAACCTTGTCCTGACTCTTGGACGTTGTTGGACAACCACAACCCCCAATCCTCACAGTTTGCCCCAGTGGGACATCCTGGTTAACGGGTAAGTTGAACACCAAATTAACACTCTCTTGTTCATAGCAACATTTCATCAGAATTTACTCAGTGGGATTAGTGATGGAGAGATGAATGTCATGAAAGCATGGGATTACGTTCTTTAAAAGTAGTAATGGATGAGTTATGTTGGCTTTTTCTTTTCATCCAGGTGTCCGTACACAGATGATCGCTACTTGTCCTCACTGGTGCCCGTCACTCCCTCTTCTGTTACGGGCGTGTTCAGTCACTACAGACGTTTCTTTTTCAAAATGTTTACCTTCGTGGAGCCCAAATCAAAGAAGGCTCTGACTGAACAGGTAATGGTTTGATTTACTGACGACAAACTGCTGTGACAAAATATTTTTGTATTGCTCTGCTTACATGGTTTTACTTGTTCAGGTGTACATTCACTGCAGTACAGCTGTGTGCCTTGCGAGACCGGGCTCCTCTTGTGAACCAGCATGCCACAGAAAGGGTAAGAGAGACGTCCAGGCTGCGGACCAGGAGAGGGCTGATCCGAAGGTCGTGGTGTCCGTTGGACCGGTGGAGCTGAATGCGCAGTAAACAGCACTGTAAACTCAAAAATTTGGCTGAAATCATTAAGTAGAATATTTGAATATGACATAATGTATATTTTAATGAATGCAAAAATATTACAAAAGTGTGCTGCAGGGAGAATGAAATTGATCCCTAAAAATATTGTAGACACATTTTGTATTAAAAGATATTGGCTTTGATATGTTGTGAATACTTTTTAAGACTTTTTTGCATCATTCCACCAGTAATATTTCACTAATGGTTGCTCTAACTTCATTGCCGTTTCATGCACATAACTCTCATGTGTTTATAGAGCTGCAGCGGACACGCTCATTAGGGTCCATTCATAACAACATTACAGGTTCCTTCCACTCTCAATATTCAACAATATCAATTCTGCGACTCAGCAGGTTCCTCTCCCAAAGCTCAACTTAAGTTGTTGTTTGGTCATGATCATCCAACCAAAATAAATCAATATAAACTTAAATCACTTTGTGTACATCCCTTATGTCCTCATAGATGGACAGTAAAACCATAATTGGGATATATATCTGGGATATATATCCCAATTATGCACTTTACTTAAATTATGCACTTTACTTAAATACAAGGGCGTAAGGATTGTCTATTGGGATTGGCTTTTAATTTAGAATAAGTTCATAATTGCTGGGATGTAAAGATTTAAAATGAAACCTTTACACCAGTGGTCCCCAACCACCGGGCCGCGGACTGCTACTGGTTGGTACTGGGCCGCACCACAGAAAGAATAGATATATTTTTTTCTGAAAATGTTTTTTGAAAATTGACCGGATTTTCTCCTAATTATGTGCACTCGTCCCTCTGATTCCCCACGCGTCACTAGGCGTTTTTCTTTGTGAGGTAAAAAAGGTTGGGGACCACTGCTTTACATAAACAAGCGGATTGTAGAGGAAATTTTATGACATCAACTAACAGATCTATAAAAAAACATAGATAATTGGTATTACAACAACTACATAAAGTAAAATTAAAAAGAAATTTAAAAAACGTTTAAATAAGAAACCAGAAACAATTTGGCATAAACACAACTGAAATAATGCGGAAGAAGGTGTGCATGTGTCAAATTAACACACGCTCAACAGGAGGGATGGAAAGGCTGTGCAGCGTTTAGCTGTACAAATTACAAAAAAAAAACGAGAAAACATTAGTATGGACTTCCTTGAACTAAATCAATGTAAAGAAAAAGGGAAATTGTCTCACAATCATAGATATGTTGTCCAAATTAATTTAAATGTTTTCCACAAAAGGAAGCAATGTTTTAACAAAGGCAAAAAGCCTTAACAGAAGAAAGTAGACCGAGGGTTGAGATACCGGAGGGAATGTTTTGTTTTGAACAGTACGTACTGTGTCAACAAAGTTACAACGTATCTGATTCCTACTTTTGGGAAGAATGTGAAATATTATTGCTCTTATTATCCGCAGTCAGCAGGATTTATGGAACATTTAAATGGTACAATTAAATAAAAAAAATAATAGCGAAGATTTGTCAGGGATGCGTGGGGGAGGCAAGATTCAAACGCAGACTTCTCCGGAAACAAAATACTTTAATAGTCGAAAAGGGAAACTCAAAGGGCCAAGGGGCAAAAAAACACACAGGCAAGAAACTACGGACATCCACGACAATAGACAATGACGCGACAAGTGACACAAGAGACACACAGGTGGAAACTATTAGACGATCACAGGGGATGACGGGACAAGGCAGGAAGTGAAGTTACCCGGGGACACGAGTGGCAGAAAACTACAAAATACAACAGGAAGTGAACCACACCGTGACAAGATGGAAGTTTGTCAAGTCACAAAGTAAGTAGCATTAAAGGGCTCTAACTTTTGAACTATTAGATGATGGAACCAGTGGTTTACCAAGCGTAAACCATTTCTTAATTTTGTTTAACAAAATTATATTTTTCCTACACCGAAGCTGGGTTATCAGGCCATGAAGGCCACAGAGAGCCTGACATGAACCGAGCACACCAACAGTAAAGAAGCAGAGAGACCATCTTGGATCCACCTCACACACTGCAAGAAGGTGAGCCAAGCAGTTACAGCGGGTACTGCCAGTGATCACCATCAAGTTGCAGGCACCTGGCCCTCGAGGCGTGGCTGGACGAACCAGGGGAGGTGAGCACAATAGGGTCACTTAGCTGGAACCAGTGAAGAAGCTGATTAGAGAGGGACAAAAGCGCACAAAGGGATTTAGGGGTGTCCGAGCAGGAGGTCGGTGGTGGCTCCGCACTGCAGAAATTGGCAAACAATGGCGCTACCTAGATGGCACCCATTCAGACAACAAAGACTGTGTGGTCTCAGAGGGCCGACCATAATATATGGGTGGGAGAAACTCAGAGAAGGCCCAAGGAGAGGAAGGGGAAGAGAACCGAAACGGCTGCACCCCAGAATTCAACATACCTGATGAGGAACAAACGAGGGGCAGAGGCCCCTCCCCTCAGGGTATTTCTATGTGAGGGTCAAGATACAACCTTCTTAGTAGATTTATGTGACAACCAACAACATAGCTGGGGAACGTGTCAAAAGATAAATGATCAGAAATACATTTGTACCAGTTTTCCATGCAAAAACCTGTGTTTGCCTCTACTGCCCCATATTATTGGACTTCTCCCACAAATCCAAAGGTCCGCCGGTGGAGTATGGTAAAATAAGTGGCTACAGGTAAATGTTTTGAAGAGGGGTGCAACAGAGTTTACGTCAAGATAAGAGATCTCGGTGCCCGTAAGGACACCGGCACCTACACATTGGCTGCGGACAACTACGGGCGGAACGTGCAGACGCATTGTAGTCACTGTACGTAACTGCCCGAAGGAAGCCCCAGCGAAGCCTGTCGCAGGTGCCACCACGGTGGCTACTGTTTTCAGCCAGAACTATCCTAAAATGGTGAAGTACCTCTGTCAGGGATGCGGGTGGAAGGCAGGACTCAAACGCAGACTTGCGGGAAACAAAAGACTTTAATAGTCACAAGGGTAAAAAAACACAGGAACCGGGGGCAAACGCACACAGGCAAGAGACTACGGCGATCCAAGACGAAAGACAAGGACATGCGTGGCAAATGACAACAGACACACATGGTTTAAATACACTAGGGAGGTGCAGGTGATTGGACACAGGTGGAAACTATTAAGACGATCACAGGGGATGACAGGACAAGGCAGGAAGTGAAGTTACCTGGGGACACAAGTGGCAGAAAACTACAAAATATAACATGAAGTGAACCACACCATGACAGTACCCCCCCCTTAAGGGCCGACTTCCAGGCGGCTCACACTAGAGCGAAACAAGGGGTGTGGGGGGAGGGAAACCCGAGACGTTGGTCGGACCACCCGGGAAACTCTGGCGGCCGGCCGGCCAGGCGACCGGGGAGCCTCTGGGGGTCGGCCTGGCGGATAGGCACACTGCCAGGGAGCTTCCGGTGGTCGGCCCGGCGGACGGTCATTTGGCCAGCTCCGGAACGTCTCTGGCATGGCAGGCTCGGGGACACGGGAAACCTCCGGGGGGGTCGGCGGCGGCTCGGGTTCGGGGACACTGAACACGTCCGCAGTAGTCGTCGGCGGCTCCAGCTCGGGGACACGGAACACGTCCGCAGTAGTCGTCGGCGGCTCCAGCTCGGGGACACGGAACACGTCCGCAGTAGTCGGCGGCGGCTGCAGCTCGGGGACACCGATTGGAATGTATGGCTAGAGTGGATGATGTACTCAGCGGACCAAATTAATTTGACCAACTGTGTGGCTCGTGCTCCATCTAGGCCAGGACTGGGGACGGTTCCGATCCGTCTCTCTCCGTTCGCTGATCCAGCCGGTTTCAGTTGTGTCATAAAACTGTTTTCCTCCCCCGATTGGCCAAAGGCTACTTTACATTATCTGTTGCCAGCAATTAAGTCTGACTCGAGACCGCCATATTTCTCACCCTATGCAGCTAATTACACCTGTTTCACCAGATATTGTGATGACGGAGTACCAGTGGGGACCCTAAGGTGGTGTAATACAACTTACAACATCACTGGCACGGTTAATGGCTACAGGGCAACTTGGTTCACAAACCAGACAACGCCCAGGGCTGACACCTGGTGGTTCTGTAGGGGTAAGAGGCTTCTAGCCACACTTCCTAAGCGGCGGAGTCGCACTTGCGCCATAGTACAGCTGGTGATGCCGTTCTATGCGTTACAACAACAAGAACATCCCCCCATGCCTCCTGCCACAGGTGCTAGTAACCTCAGGCTTGGGGGGGGAGGCCCTCTACGGTGCGCAAAGTACCTGAGCATGAAGACAGCAATTTTTTTTTCTCCTCTCCTTTTCCCTTCGTTTTGGGGTTTTATTTGTATGACTGAGATGCCTTTTGTTGCCCTTTTTCTCACATGAGCGACTTGTCGCGCAAAGGGGGGAGGGCGGACATGCTAATGGCCGCTATGCTAATATAAATAATAAAAACTTTGATTGACTTAGAAATAAAAATAAATGATAACAATAATAATAATTAAATATGTTAACCCATTGATTAATAATAAAAAGAATAATCATTTTAGAATCACGGTGAAATCCTTTATGAACTTTTGATTGACAATTTTTTCTTTTCTTTGTGTTAAATCATTTGATAAGGTTAACTGCCATAGTTTTTCATTTTCTTTCTTTTAATTATTTATACTTTGTATAAACAGGTGGGAAATGTTGGGAAATCTGCAAATAATGTGTGTCATGATATCAATAAGGCTGTACTTTGCTACCCTCAGCTGAAAGACATCTTGTCAGCCGAGATTGGGGGCGCTGGCCTCGGGAGGGACATTCTGTCCCATGAGGGTAAACAATCAGTCCTCTGTATGTCACCATCCCCATGTTTTGATGCCATACCTGCTGTTTACATTCCTGCTCCAAAGATGAAAACCTTTGAGCAGGCTTGGCGAATTACTTGCATTTGTATCAACTCTGTCTCCTGTTTGCAAACATTAAATAACCTGTTTTGATGATTTTACACCGGTGTCGAGTGAGAATTTTTCTAACAGCACCTCTCAGACCTTTGTGGCTGTCTGTGTTGGCCACAGGAGGGCAACCTCAACTGAGTATTAACTTCCCAGACTCCATTTCCCATGCAAAGAGACTAATCATCAGTAAAGGTCCATCCATACATCTTCACACCGCTTATCCTATACGTCGGGTCTCTTGGGGCTGGAGTTAATCCCAGCCCCAAAGGACAGGGTACACCTTGGATTGGTTGCCAGCCAACTGCAGGAATAACACAGAGACAAAAAAACATTCACACACCTACAGGCAATTTAAAGTCTCCAATCAACCTAATCCCCAGTGCATGTCTTTGGACTGTGGGAGGAAGCCAGAGTACCCGGGCAGAACCCACGCAGACACGGGGAGACTCCACACAGAAAGGCCACTGGGCGGAGTTGAACCCGGCACTTTCTGGCTTTGAGGCAACAGTGCTAACCACCACACCACCGTGCCGCCCACCGGCACAGCTGTTTCCCATTATCTGCTCTATTTAAGCAGCATTCACACTCAGATTCATTGCGAAGTATTGTTTTGCCCCGGCTGACATTTCTCAGCGTTTACCTTGATAGTCTGTGACCCTTCTGTGTATGATCTTGAATTGTTAGACTACTGTTGATTCTCTATACCGCCTGCCTTTGTGATCTCGCTCTGGGGATCTTTGAGGCAGCAAACAGGTGCTTTCCTCTTCTGGAGTGGAATTAAACCTGTGAATGTAAGGATTGTAACTGTGCAAGTGTACTTCACATACGGTTCTGCTCTATAGTTATTATTCTTTATGATACAATACATTTGTAACAACACATATCAACACACCAGTTTTTCCATGCACGTGAACCAGTTAGTTCCTCATCCTGTCAATATCACAAGGTAACCTGTTCTGGAAAATGAATGACAAATCGAGCATATCAATCAGGGATTTCAAACCTTCCGCCCAGAGATGGCCATGAATAATGTCCCATTAAGATATCTTTTTAGCTACCAATTATTAAAACTAGGTAATAGAGATCATGCCCCTTTTCATCTGTTCCTAAGCCACAATACTTATGTAAACTGTATTTATTAGGTATCATGTAATGTAGAAGCCTTCCTAGATTTAAATATGTATGTTTGGCCGTATCAACCTTCAGTGAATGCTCTTCTTGCAGTAGATTAAAGCGCCCCTGTTCAGGAAACTGTAACATGGTTATGTTTGAAATGAGGTGTTCACAATCGCAGGTAAACCTATGAACAGACCGAGTAGCAACCTTTGTCTCAGTTCTAGAGAAGAGATGTGCACTAGCAAAATAAACATTTGGTGACAAATAACTTTTGAAGAGGAGCGGCACGGCGGCGTGGTGGTTAGCACTGTCGCCTCACAGCAAGAAGGTGCTGGATTTGACTCCGCCCAGTGGCCTTTCTGTGTGGAGTCTGCATGTTCTACAGTGTCTGCGTGGGTTCTTTATGGATTCCTCCCACAGTCCAAAGACATGCTATAGGGATTAGGTTGATTGGTAACTCTAGATTTCCCGTAGGTATGTGAATGATTGTTTGTCTGTGTGTTAGCCCTGCGATTGGCTGGCAAGCAATCCAGTGTGTACCTTGTCTATTGCCCGAAGTTGGCTGGGCTGGACTCCAGGCCACCCCCCCGTCCCCCCCGCGACCCTGTGTGCAGGATAAGTGGTTGGATGGATGGATAACTCTTGAGGATACTGAGACCTTTGAAAAAGGTTTTTGTGACCTAAATGTCAATAAATACTTTAATGTCATCCAACACAGTGACCTGATCTAATAGGACAAATGGGTCTGATCTTGGAAAGTTGCCAAAAGGCTCATCGATCCTCCCACTAATAACACAAACATGACATAATACAACCCTGAGGCTTTTGAGTGGCTAAAGAAAAAAATGGGAAGCTGTAATTGGTGGTAAATTGCCTCAGGGGAGGAGTTTTTTTAAAACCTCCAGGGTACTAACATATAAATGTAGCAGCATATACATCAGTAGTACACTTGGGAATTATCCAGGTCAAACTGCTGTTGAACCATGGCAAAGCTGGCCACCTCTTCTGTGGCACTAGCAGTGCTAGGGTGCGTACTATGGACCGTGGTAAATGCTCAAATCCCAAATTGGTCTCCACATCCTCATCCAAAGGGATACCCATGGCCACCAATCCCGCCTCCTGAAGATCCAACGATTCCTCCACCTCGTCCACCTCGTCCACCTCTTCCACCTCCTCCACCTCATCCACAATATCCAAAATATCCACCTATCTGGCCTCCTCATCAACATGAACATCAACATCATCATCAACACCATCAAGGTCCATTTTACCCGAAATATGACTTTAATCAGGATCAGCAGGGCTCTAAAACACCACAGAAAACACAGACACCTCAGATTCCGGATCCAAATGTGAAGCCTATCCAGAGTTGTGACGTGGATATAAACGTGAGAGTCCCATGTGGACTTCCTGGCATCTCCGCTACTGGATGTGGAGCCATAAACTGCTGCTTTGACGGCAGTCACTGCTTCTATGGAAAAGCAGGTGAGTTATTTTAAAAGAATGTCATTCAAGAGAACGTAATAATATGTAAAGAAGGTTTTGTGCATCTTTAACCTGTCAATGCTTGTTTCTGTGCCACTAGTCACCGTTCAGTGCACCAAGGACGGACAGTTCATTGTCGTTGTGGCCAGAGATGCCACTCTGCCAAGCATCGACCTCGAATCAATCTCGCTTTTGGGAGATGGGCCACACTGTAAATATGTGGACTCTAATTCAGCCTTTGTCATCTATAATTTCCCTGTTACCGCCTGTGGCACCGTTGTTACGGTAAGACCTTGATGTTCTCATCTTTTCAACCAGTCAAGAAAACGTTAAATGAGGTGTGATGTCACGAGAGGCGCCGCCGCTCTCTCCGGGGTAGTTCAAAATAGTGCGAGGACACCGGGTTCAAAATGTAAACAAAAGGTTTTAATTTCCGTCCTTCAGGTTCAACAGAAAACAGTCAAAACAGGGGGTAACTCAGGCTTCGGTCAATCTTTGCCGGTAGAACTTAACTTAACGGAAATCCACTTCTGTAAGGAAAACAACACCGTCCTCCCGGTCTCTCCTGCCTCCTCGAATCCTTATGGCTTGGTCTGCTCTTCTCAGCTCGTCTCCCTCCAACGGTGTGTCTTCCACCTTTATGAAGGCCTCCGGGTCGTCACACCCTGATGGGTCTCAGGTGTGAGGGGAATGCTCTGAGTTTCGGGGCACCAGCAGATGGAGCCATAGTTAGAGCCATCGCCGGTGAACGTATCTCCCTTCCAAGACCAAGCCTCTCGTGACATCACACATCCCCCCCCTCGAGACCGACGTCCTCGTCGATGTGTAGGAGGTGTAGAAGGCGTCCCGTCTGGAGAGTGCATCCGCGTTGCTGTGGCTCTTGCCCGCCCTGTGGACAACAGAAAAATTAAAGGCTTGTAAGCTCAAGAACCACCTAGTGATCCTACGGTTTGTTTCCTTGTTCTTGGCCATCCACTGCAGAGGGGCATGATCCGACACCACCGTAAACTGTCGGCCCAGGAGGTAGAACCGTAGGGATTCCAGGGCCCAGGTAACTGCGAGGCATTCCTTTTCCACTGTGGAATAGTTCTTCTCCCTTGGAAGTAACTTCCTGCTTATGTAGAGGATTGGGTGTTCCTCCCCCTCACGTGTCTGGGCGAGTACCGCACCCAGACCCACCTCTGAAGCGTCCGCCTGTACGATGAATTCCTTCCGGAAGTCTGGTGCCACCAGGACTGGACCGGAGCACAGAGCCCGCTTCAGGTGGCTGAAGGCCGCCTCCGCCGCAGGGTTCCACCTCACCATTCGGGAGTGCCGTTTGGTGGTCAGTTCTGTTAGAGGGGCTGCTATGGTGGCAAAACCCATAATAAAACGTCGGTAGTAGCCGGCTAGGCCTAAAAATGTCCTCACCTGTTTCTTGGTGATGGGCTGTGGCCAGTCCTGTATGGCCCGCAACTTGGCTTCCTGGGGCTTGACCAAACCCCTCCCAATGGTGTACCCCAGGTAGTTTGTCTCGCTGAAAGCCAGCCTGCACTTCTTGGGGTTTGCTGTGAGCCCTGCATCTCGGATTGAATCAATCACAGCTTGTACTCTGGGTAGGTGACTGTCCCAATCGGGACTGTGTATGACCACATCATCCAAATATGCCGCCGCGTACCTCTTATGGGGAGCAAGGACCCGATCCATCAATCGCTGGAACGTGGCCGGTGCTCCGTGGAGACCAAAGGGGAGCCGGGTATACTGGTAGAGCCCCTCCTGTGTCGCAAAGGCAGTCTTCTCCTTAGACGCCGGCGTCAGGGGAACCTGCCAGTAGCCTTTTGTGAGGTCAAGCGTGGTTATGAAGCGAGCACATCCCAAGGAGTCTACCAGATCATCGACACGAGGCATTGGGTATGCGTCAAATTCAGATACTTCATTCAACTTCCGAAAATCGTTGCAAAACCGTATTGACCCGTCCGGTTTGGGAACCAGTACAATGGGACTTGCCCAGGCACTTTGAGATTCCTCGATCACTCCCAACTCCAACATCTTCCTTACCTCCTCCTGAATGGCCCCCTTATGAGCCTCCGGCACCCGGTACGGGCGCTGGTTCACCGTTTTGCCTGGCACGGTGCGTATCTCGTGCTGGGTCACTTCCGTGTGCCCGGGAAGAGAGGAGAAAACATCCCGGTTACGGTCCACTAGTTCCCGAGCCATCTGCCGTTGATGGGGGGACAGGCTGGGACCCACCTGCACCTCTTCTCGCCCTGGTTCCTTGGACTCCGTGGGTGTTGGGCAACTGAATAGCGCCTCCCTGGCGTGCCACTTCTTTAAGAGGTTAACATGATAAATTTGCTCACGTTTTCTTTTTCCCGGTTGCCTTACCTTGTAATTGACCTCTCCCACCCGTTCAATGACCTCATATGGTCCTTGCCAAGTTGCCAGGAATTTACACTCCACGGTTGGCACCAGGACCAGCACTTTGTCACCCGGCTTGAACTCTCTGGGTTGAGCCGACCGGTTGTAGGAGGCTTGCTGTTGCCGTTGCGTGGTCTCCATGTGTTCCCGCATCATGGGATAGATGGCCTTCATTCTCTCCCTCATGGCCCCGACATGCTCAATCAGGGTCCGCTGTTGGCATGGCTGCTCCTCCCAGGCCTCCTTCGCAATGTCCAGCAGTCCTCTGGGTCTGTAAGAAAGCAAGAGCTCAAAGGGTGAAAAACCAGTAGAAGACTGCGGCACCTCTCTCACCGCAAACAGCAGGTACGGCAGCAGGTGATCCCAGTTGCGCCCATCTTCCCCAACGGCCTTCCGTAGCATGGACTTTAGAGTTTTGTTAAACCGTTCTACTAATCCATCCGTCTGGGGGTGGTAGACTGAGGTTCTTAGTTGTTTGATCTTCAGTAGCGCACAGAGTTCCTTCATCACCCTGGACATAAACGGAGTCCCTTGGTCGGTCAATATCTCCTTTGGGATTCCAAGACTGGTTGAGAGGAGAAACAGCTCGTTGGCGATGTGTCGGGCCGTAGCCTTCCTCAGCGGGATGGCCTCAGGATATCGGGTTGCATAGTCCAGGATGACCAAAATATACTGATGCCCTCTGGCACTTTTTGGTAAGGGCCCTACTATGTCCAGTCCAATCCTCTCAAAAGGAGTGTCGATAATTGGTAATGGGATGAGCGGATTTCTGTATGTGGGCTTTGGTGCCACTTGCTGACATTCTGGGCAACTACGACAGAAATTCTCAATCTCTTTGTGTACTCCGGGCCAAAAGAAGCGTTGCAGGATTCTCTCCTTAGTTTTCTCGACCCCTAGGTGGGCCCCTAGTGGGTGCGTGTGTGCTAAGTGAAGTACGGTGGCTCGATAGGACTGTGGTACGAGGAGCTGTTCATGCACTTCATCATTTTTCTTTACCACCTGGTAGACTAACCCCCGACTTACTGCAAAATGTGGATAGGTAGGGTTTGTCCGATCCCCTAGCACTACTCCCTCTAACACCTGCACATTTCTCAGGGCATTTGTCAAGGTGGGATCCTGTAACTGGGCTGTACCGTACTGGCCTGTGAGCGGGGGAAGTGTGTCGATGCCCGGGATGTCTTCCTCGCTCGAGATCGGCGCACTTTCCTGAGCCATGTTGTCTTCTCCCGTGTCCGGACCCGCCTCGGTGTCAGCCTGGGCACCTGTCATTCCTGCAAGAGCACAGGCCGGAGAGCGTAATTCTGAGGGTTTCACATGAATATTATCAGGATGAGTCCTACCTCTCCGCTTCCGAGGTACTCTGCTTAGCCGCTCCTGAGTCTCCCTCCACAGCAGGTGGAAGGCTGGGAAGTCTCGTCCAATTAGGATGGGGACGGGCAAGGAATCAACCACCCCCACCTCCGTGAGTATGGTCCCCCGGGTAGTGGTCATCGTGAGTTCAACGATGGGGTAGTCTCTGGTGTCTCCATGGACACAGGAAACGGGAAGGACTTTCCCTGGGGTCAAACCAAGTGGTCCTATCAGGTCCTTCCGTACCAGGGTAGCTCGGCTACCCGAATCTAGCAAGGCCTCCACGTCCTGGTGATTCACAGTCACCGGGCAGGTGGGAGGTCGATCTGAGGGGGCATCTACAAGTCCTATGAGCGAGGCAAACCGGGGGGTGGGTGATGAGCTGGATGACTTAGCCGTGGGCATAGGGTCGTCCGCCTGCGTCCCACAATGCCAGGAGAGGTGTCCCACTCCCCCACACCGGTAACACTGTCTGGTTTCCCTTTCCTGGTGTATTTCCTTGGGACCCAGCGGGTTTCTGGCTCCCCCTGGGGCTCTTGAAGAGGCTGGGTTGGTAACCTTGGGACGGGTTGTTTCAGTCTGTGGTAGGGCCATGCTCCTGGGTTCTCTTCTGGAGGCCCGAAGCATATCTGTTGTGGCTTGATACTTTTCCACTGCTTCCACGGTTAGATCGGCCGTGGTCAGGGCCTGTTGACTGAGGAACCGCTTTGCCTCATAAGGCAGGGCACGTAAGTATCGATCCACCACCACGGCCTCTACTACTGCAGGCGCCGTATTCCTCTGTGGTTCCAGCCACTTCCGCGTGATCCGTACAAGTTCGTGCATCTGTGCACGAGGAGGTTGGTCGGGTTGGAAGGTCCAGTTGTGGAAGCGCTGGGCCATACCAAACTTGGTAATTCCATTTCTGCTCAAGATCTCCGTTTTCAGGGCATCATAGTCCGTCGCTTGGTCAGGCCCCAAGTCCCGAACAGCATTCAGTGCCTCCCCAGTTAGAAAAGGGGCTAACAGACCAACCCACTGGTCCCTGGGCCAGGCTTCCCTAGTGGCCGTGGCTTCAAAGGCATGCAGGAATGCCTCAACGTCATCCGTGGCACCCATCTTGGATAAATAGTTACTTGCATTTATTGGGCGTACATTCCGGTCGGCCATCTGTTTCTGCAGTTGTAATTCCTCCGCCCTCAGAAGGTTGGCTTTCTTTTGTTCTTCCAAGAGAGCCAAGTTTGTTTGCATCTGGGCTTGCTGGCCAGCAATAAGGGTCTTCAAGATTTCTTCCATTTTGTCCAGTGAGGGGCCTACAGTCAATCTAGAAAAGTGTTGAATCAATCTTTCGGTGTCCTCCTCTGACATGCACTAAATCCGCTTGAACAACGCCCGCATCCTCCACCATATGTGATGTCACGAGAGGCGCCGCCGCTCTCTCCGGGGTAGTTCAAAATAGTGCGAGGACACCGGGTTCAAAATGTAAACAAAAGGTTTTAATTTCCGTCCTTCAGGTTCAACAGAAAACAGTCAAAACAGGGGGTAACTCAGGCTTCGGTCAATCTTTGCCGGTAGAACTTAACTTAACGGAAATCCACTTCTGTAAGGAAAACAACACCGTCCTCCCGGTCTCTCCTGCCTCCTCGAATCCTTATGGCTTGGTCTGCTCTTCTCAGCTCGTCTCCCTCCAACGGTGTGTCTTCCACCTTTATGAAGGCCTCCGGGTCGTCACACCCTGATGGGTCTCAGGTGTGAGGGGAATGCTCTGAGTTTCGGGGCACCAGCAGATGGAGCCATAGTTAGAGCCATCGCCGGTGAACGTATCTCCCTTCCAAGACCAAGCCTCTCGTGACATCACAGAGGCTTAAGCCTATTTTTACCCCACAACGACGTTTTCTTTTACCTTTTGTAGGAAGAACCTGGTGTTATAATCTATGAGAACAGAATGACCTCCTCATACGACATTGAAGTTGGGCCTCGTGGAGTCATTACCAGAGACAGTCACTTTCAGTAAGTGATTCTTATTTGAAGTGATTTTGTAATAACAGATCTGACCGAGCAGCGTATGACAATTTTCCCTTTTCAGATTGCTCTTCCAGGCTAGGTACATCGGTACCGCTGTTGAAACTTTGGTTGTAGAAATATTACCACTTAGAGACCCTCCCCTACCAGTTGCCGCTTTTGGACCAATCAGAGTAGCCCTGAGGTTGGCTAATGGAATATGCTCTACAAAGGGTTGCAATGAGGGTAAGTGAATGTCTGCCCGGCACTGTGCTGCTGTGTTTATAGATGTCTGGTATACTTACTGGTCCCTGCTTTCACAGTGGATGCGGCCTATACATCTTTCTATTCGGCTGCTGACTATCCTGTGACTAAAATACTGAGAGAACCTGTGTACGTGGAAGTTGAACTCCTTGAAAAGACGGATCCAAACCTTGTCCTGACTCTTGGACGTTGTTGGACAACCACAACCCCCAATCCTCACAGTTTGCCCCAGTGGGACATCCTGGTTAACGGGTAAGTTGAACACCAAATTAACACTCTCTTGTTCATAGCAACATTTCATCAGAATTTACTCAGTGGGATTAGTGATGGAAAGATGAATGTCATGAAAGCATGGGATTACTTTCTTTAAAAGTAGTAATGGATGAGTTATGTTGGCTTTTTCTTTTCATCCAGGTGTCCGTACACAGATGATCGCTACTTGTCCTCACTGGTGCCCGTCACTCCCTCTTCTGTTACGGGCGTGTTCAGTCACTACAGACGTTTCTTTTTCAAAATGTTTACCTTCGTGGAGCCCAAATCAAAGAAGGCTCTGACTGAACAGGTAATGGTTTGATTTACTGACGACAAACTGCTGTGACAAAATATTTTTGTATTGCTCTGCTTACATGGTTTTACTTGTTCAGGTGTACATTCACTGCAGTACAGCTGTGTGCCTTGCGAGACCGGGCTCCTCTTGTGAACCAGCATGCCACAGAAAGGGTAAGAGAGACGTCCAGGCTGCGGACCAGGAGAGGGCTGATCCGAAGGTCGTGGTGTCCGTTGGACCGGTGGAGCTGAATGCGCAGTAAACAGCACTGTAAACTCAAAAATTTGGCTGAAATCATTAAGTAGAATATTTGAATATGACATAATGTATATTTTAATGAATGCAAAAATATTACAAAAGTGTGCTGCAGGGAGAATGAAATTGATCCCTAAAAATATTGTAGACACATTTTGTATTAAAAGATATTGGCTTTGATATGTTGTGAATACTTTTTAAGACTTTTTTGCGTCATTCCACCAGTAATGTTATTGAAGTTACAGAGCTTTCCCCAACTGTGTTATGAATGTATTGCATCCTGGGACATTTATGCCAGCGTTGCATCTGGTGATGCAAACTGTAATGTTACTGAATGTGCTTTTCGTGTCAAATATTGACTATTACTCCTGCTTACTATACTACAAGGCCATAAGAGATTTAATTACCTCAAATACTGTGATATAATGTAAAATTACCCTAAAATTCTTTTAAAATACATTACAGAAGATGCATTGTTCAGTTGACGACAACAATAAAATGTGTGTACTTCAGATGATTCACTTATTTACTAAATTTACTAGCTAGAACCTTTTATACTGGCTAAACAACACATTAACTTCTACAAAGTCTAAACTGCATGAAGAACTTTTTTTTCATACTCCTTCCACCTGAGTGTCAGAGATGTTTTTCTTTGTAAAGGAGATTCAAAAGAAGTAATTGGGGGGTATGGATTATTTTCACACAAAAATCCAGTCATGTCATAGAACAAAATAAGTAATCGTGGAATGACATGACTTCACGGCGGCGACGCTGCTCCTCCAGTTCCGTCTTTGGACGCCTCCGAGCCTTGTTGACAGCGTGGTGAAGACATCTGTGTGAGCCATATGAAAACACTGTGCATCCTCCTCCTCCTCCTCCGTCATCCTCTAGCGTGTCCTTGCTGAGCTTGATCTGCCCAGAGACAGCACTAACAAGCCAGAACCACGGGGCGATGGCAACGACCCAGAGACATGCATAGACACAGAGATACGAGGAACGAGAGAGCGATGGGGCCGGCGGGCCGAGCAGGGAGAGAGAGAGAGAGAGAGAGAGAGAGAGAGAGAGAGAGAGAGAGAGAGAGAGAGAGAGAGAGAGAGAGAGAGAAAGGACGTAGGCTGAGTGGAAAGGGCGCGTGAGGGAAAAATACGTAGAAAATGATTCGGCTTTCAGAACCAAAACGCTGTGCAGATAATAACTTCAAAAAGTAAGAAAAACATCCCACTAAGAGACAGAGAGAGTTTAAAATGCACTTGGGGAGTGTGTAAGATCCACTGATGCCAGAACAACCTGGAGCTCAACGCAATGCTCCAATGATGTTAGAAAAATCATTATAATGAATGGAAAATAATGTTAGAAGACAATACATGTCTTTACTTCTCACAGAATTGTTGGGAAAACCAACCAGTAGTGTACAGATTTACTTGAACATGGACAAGAGGTTTTAATTGCATTTAGCTATACTCCATTATTTAAAATAAATACAAAGTACATTGAGTGTAGCACCTAATTATAAGTTTTGCACATTTTAATTTGACTCAAAATGTAACGAATCTTTTGTGGGTAAAATAAATATTCCTGAACTGAGATTATCCAAAAGTTTTAAAGAAATCCCCATCTCAATTTTGTCTAGAGTGGAAGAATTAAAAGTAAAAACAGTTGCTCTCTACAGTAAAAGAAAAAGAAACAAGAAAAAAGTATAAATATAATGCTTTGTGACTGATCTGACACAACACGTATACAACGTTCACCATGTTTTATTTAAACTTTTTCGCAATATTGCCATGTTTCCAAAAATTCTGATTGTTCAACAAACTTTCAAACATCCTGCAACACTGATTAAACAAAAGCTTAATTCTGTAAAGTGCCTTGAAGACTAATGGCATTTTACAGTTTAGGTAGATACCTTTTCCTTTAAATAATATGGAACCTAAGTTTGTCATCTTCAAATGCAGTTGACACTTGAGATTAATAACGTAAAGTTAAAACTCCAGCCTTCAGATTGGCTAAGAAACACGAAGCATTTGGGCAACGTTCAGGTTGAGAAGTAATGCTTTTATACACTGTAATATATATTTATGACATTATGATGCATCGTGTCTGAAATATAGATGTTAAGATTGTTTGATTTGAACATACAACGAACATGGCACAGTAACTATCAAAATATTCAGTTAGTCAAAATATATGTCATGTATAAAATAATATTCATAGTCAAACTGGAATTTTAATTGCTATCAAAATACTCAATATTCTGAAACTGACATAATATTCATTGTAAGAAATCAGATGCTGTATCAAAAGTATGAGTCACTTTCGCCCAGGTGACACAATAACTACAAGAAGATAATATTCAGAGAAAACTGAACCTATCACATACAGTGAAAAAGCATTCGCCCTTTTTTCCTGGTTCTTATTTTTTTTCTATATTTGTCATCGTTAAATGTTTCAGGTAATCAAACTAATTGTAATATTAAACAAAGATAACCCAAATATATACAAATTGCATGTTTCAAATGATGACTTTAGGAATCCAAACCAACCTTAAAAAGACATTTGTATTGACTGGTTATCTTTGTCTAAAATTAAAATGAGTTTTATATAAATAATTTATGCCTTTCAAAATATGCAAACTAATCAGGGGCAAATTATTTTTCACATAGCAAGTTCACCAGTAAAAACATCAAACGGTCAGCAGGTGGTTTAGATATTGAACTGGACTCAACCTCAAAGATCACAGCTTTGTCCATTTGTGCGAGCTGAACAGAAGCGATTAACTGAACACAAACTTAAGTCCCCATGGACACATTTTCTAATCCATGGGAGTTGAAAGTGAAACACCTCGGTCAGTGTGTCGGATCACCAATGATGAAGGATTGTCTTGTAATTTTATACTGTTTAGGAGCCTCTCTCTTCTGGTGCCAAAGTTAACTTCAGGGTCGGTTAAATCAGGGTCGTCACTTTTTATCAAAACTGAAACATGGACATTTTATTTGACAATTTCAGGCACTGGTGATAATAGCGTGTTTCCTTTAACAACAAAGCAGGAGAGTCTTTGCAAGTTCATCCTTTGTAGGTCCTAACCCCTTAACTATATGCACATCTAACAGCAATCACATTATAGAAGACAAACCAAAGAAAAACAACAAAAGACTCCCGTTACCAAAAAATGTGTAGAGCAAACGTTTGAGTCCTGTGCTGCGCTTTTCCTGCTCACAGTGCGAGCCGTGGCGCCGCGGCTGTGTGCGTTCACTCTCCTCCTCCTCCTCCACCTCCTCCTCCTCGTCAGTCGGACTTGTCCTTCTTTTTGCCTCCTCCTATGGGAACTTTGCTGACCACCGCAGAGCCCACAGCAGTCACTCCCCCGGCTACCGCACACACTCCTCCTTTGACCAGACCCACTCCGATCCCGGGCAGAGCGGCTACCGAGCACACCGTGGTCTTGGTGAGGTCCAGACTCTTTCCTCCTATCCACGTCACGCCGCCCACGGTCGCCCCTAAAGCTCCCTTGGTGGCACCGTACAAGCCCCCCGCCAACCTGCCGAACATGCCCGGCTGCGCCGGAGGATGATCCTTGTTTTCGTTGTTGTCTGGTTTGAGAAAAGCAATATTTTAAGATCCAGGGACAGGACAGAACTGCTCCGAACAAGGGCTGCGAAACCTATTATTCACATTTCACTTCCTGGTGTCGTATGAAAATAGGTGCGGACTAATATTCTTTGGACGAAATAATTGATACAATTCAGCCCGAGTCCAAACATATTGTAGCTTCACATGCCTTTACCCTTAGAGCCCAATGACGGTTGATAATTGGTTGTGCACGAGATGATTCTTTTCTATATTGATAGATAAATTGCCAAAGAGCATAACATTTGCAGTTAAATGGTCTTTATAAAAAAAAAAGGGAACCAGCTCTACCTCATACAAATACTAACCTATTGAATCTGCACATTTTAGGTTTACCTGAAGAGGATTACTGCAGAAACAGATAATCCCACAAAACTGTTCTTCCACATAACTCCTCCCCTCGTTTTTCTACGGACAGGATCTGTAAACCGTTGAACACATTGGGGGCAATAAACAGAAAGTTGGACTGCAACAACTAAACGTATACCTGTAGATACTGGCTCATCATTGAGGTATGCAGGCATGTCCTCGGGCATCTCGCTCATCTCTCTGCAAGAATAAACCACACAGTCACCAACAGAGGTATGCAAAACTATAGGGAAAAAAGTTAACATTGTAACATTCAACAGTTTTCCTTGTGGCATCTTTGTGTCAGTTATTATGATCTTCCCCTGATAGAGATGTGCTTGTTGTTGCATATATTTCTGAGTTTACTAATTCCTTGTAGGACACGACCACACGCTCTAGTTATGTGCCACCAAAACCCTTCATTCCAAATAGAAAAAGCTTTTCTTTAAAGTAAATATCTCGGGATGAGGGTGTGTAGGGACAACGACAGGAGCTTGCTTTGGGTGTGCTGCTGATCCTAAAAACAAGTCAGACCTGTTCACGGTCTGCCACACAGCACAGCAACAGATTCAACACACACGACACAGCAATATCTAAACGTAACACAACCGACAACCAAGAGTATAGTATAGTATAGTATAGACTATGGTGTAGTTATCGGACTGTTGCAATTTACTCCATATCCCGGGAATGGGTGAACAAAGGAGCGCGGAGACTATCGACTGATGGAGATACGAGCATTATTTGTCACCATGCATATCTGGCAGCTTGCATGCGCGACCGTTAGCTCGCGTGTAAAACGAGTGCTACGTCACGTTAGCGAACCGACGGCATCGGCTTCGTGGCAGAATGACGTCGACGTCAGCTAACGTCAACACCAGAGGCGGTTAAAAGCGATATTTGCTTAAAGGTTGTCTGATTAAGAAACAATGTCACACGCTAGAAAGGGTTAGACTTGTATTTAACAGCCCACGTTGTGGTTGTTCAGCCTTTAGTGGCCGCAATCAGCGTGTTGGTACAATTTAACTAACGTTAGCCGAGACACGTCACAAACGGCGCTTTAACGCTTCCCCCACCGTCACTGGATCGACATTTATTGACGTAAACATATTTCCATTTCTGTCCCGGTTACACTGCTGGTTGATGGTCTTCTTTAAAAAGTAATTCGCAATACTCGGTATTTATTTGTTCCACAAGGCTCTCATCGCTCAATATACACACACGTTAGCAGATTTAACGTAACACTCACCTCACTTTATGATCCGACGTAACGTAACTGTGAATTATGCGCGAGAGCTTCTGCCCTAAACAACAATAGTGCTGTGATAATATGTAACGTTCGCTGCTGGGGGGGAGTGGGGGGTTAGGCGGCGTACTCGTGTTGTCTGTCTGATTATATGTTGAGGGAGGACCTCAGTCTCCACCCATACAAGCACACGGAGGTATCGTAACGTTACACACCACCCGCGGGACGGAGCTCCAGCCGCTGGCTGCCATTACCGAACCACATGCGCATTTAAGCACCGTGTAATTGGGATTGTCTGAAAATATAATAGCCTCATCATCTTCAGTAAGATCGTGCACTAACGCGGGGCTTTAACTGTGGTCTTTTTTTTTTGTAGATGTTTTGGTGATGATTAGGGACAACCGTGAAAAAGTATGGCAGAAAGGATAAGATAAACATTTGCCATTTAACAAGGCCCCTGTTCGTTACTTTGGCGGGAGAGGACGCTTGACCGAAAACACCAAAACAACATCCTTCCCTCAAAGCGGATATGACGTAGGTCCTCCGCGCTGGCTGTGATTCAAAGATCGTCTACGATAAGGAAACAGAACAGAAGCCAATACCATCTTGATATGTAGATCTCAGATGTCATTTTATGAGGGAATGTATACGACTGAATCACGGAATGTATTATTGAAACAAACACACTATATTTAAATATATTAACCCTTTGAGTTCTGCATAAGAAAAAGCATAAGCACACGGAAATTACGACAAGTCAAAATGTCCACTATGAACACATTTGAATATTACGGGGGAAACGCAGCACCGCGGTGCTTCTCCTCTCGTTTCCCGCCTCTATTCGCAACGACTTCTTGGAAAAGCGGAAAAACGAACAGAGTGGCAGCTCCCTCCTCTCCGCCCGCCAGCGTAGGTAGCACGTAGATGAGGTGCATGCGTTTGGAGCAGAACGGGACACCTTTATCTCCTCCGAATCAGATGTTGACCTGGCCGCGGCGGCTGGACGGTTACGGGACTAAGAATTTAGCGATCGAGCAAGTGCAGCGAGTTTCCTTTCGGCCGCGAAGCATCTCGAGTGGCTCAACGAGGTCGCCCGTCTGTCGTCGTTGTCTGCGCCGCATTCAAAACTTCCGCCGTCTGCAGAGACAGGTATCTAATCACAACGACATTAACCCCTTTCTCGCGTACCTACACGTGATTATTTTTATTATTATGATCGGACCATATTTTAACAGTATCACATGTTTCACTTTGAGTTTTGAGCCTCGTTGCGCTGTAATATTCCAAGTTTCCATGTGCCTGACCCAAATATCACATTTGCTGTGTGCACCAGTGGGATCTGTGACATAAGAACGAGTGTGGAATATACATTGAGGACACATCAACAGTGCAACATATTCATTTCAGCAAGACATCTCAACAGGGCAATTCACTTGTTAAAGGAACAACACCAGAAAGCAGTTATTATTCTGTAAAAGGTATTTCTTATGTCCAAATCACTGCCTGCAGGGTTCTTGATAAATGGAGGCAGTAACTCGTGTCCCAAATGCACATGAGGTTCAGAACCAGCTTTATTGGCTGGATTTGACTTTGGGTTTCACTTTGGTCTCAACCGACATGTACAGGTGTACGAAGAAAATATTAAACAAAGACAACAACAAAAAGGCTCCGTACAAACGTTTTACAATTTTGTGTGTGTGTGTGTGTGTGTGTGTGTGTGTGTGTGTGTGTGTGTGACATGCATGTGAGAGACAAAATAAATTGGACCTATACAACAACAACAACAACAACAGTGGAATTGAGGTGAAAGTGCAGATAGAGGTGATGGTGCAGTACGTGTGGGAGGGAGGAGTCTGAACATGTGGCGTCCAGGGTGTGAAGGGTCTGCAGTGATGTTTTCTGGCTCTAGAGGTGTACAGGTCCAGGATGACGGGAAAGCTGGAGGCAATTATTGTCGTAGTCTGTTCCTGTCTTTGTTAGTGGCCCAACAAAACCACACCGTGATGGAGGAGCGTGGAGCAGACGGGACACGTCATCTGCACAGTTTTAGGGCTCGTTCAACTGCAGGTTGTTCCGACCTCACCAGAAGGCCAGAGGTCAAGCTTCTTGACTCAATGGGTCAAACCGTTAATGAAAGTTGGTCCGTTACAATTACCACGAAAAGGGAAAAAAATGGGTCGATGGTTTTCAAGTGTAATGAGATTTAGCTTCCAGCAGGTGCCAATGTAGCCTCACTTTTAGTAAATCATCCAGAAGTCTGTCTGCAAGTCAACTGATGTCATTTCTTTTAGCACCACTCACCCAAAAGTGTTTCTCGAAAACTAGATTTCTTCACATATAGTTAAGAAACAATGTTGTCAAAAACAAGATTTGCTGACAGGGAAGGTAATGGCTCTCAACAGTTAAAGGCCCATTCTATCCATGAATAAATTAACTAAAATCCAACTTTTTTTAGTATCCAGTTTTTGGTCAAAGGTATCTACCGAGACAGAAATTGAAATATTTTTTATTTGCGGCTTTTATCCTTTTAAAGTGACTCATTGTGCTTTACAAAACAAGCAACATTTGACATTCTTAAGGCTAAACGATACCTTGATTAGTCCAAAAACTAATTAGCAGATGAATTCCTAATGAAAAAAAGAAGGCCTAAAGGACTTAAATTAACTTTGCGGTGACTGTGTGCTTTCACTGCTTATTTTCAGTTATTGGGCTGCGATGGTCTCTTAACGGGACAGGAAGAGACATTAGTTAACCATCAACCCACTGAGCAGAATTGGCTCTCCGCCCCCCCACCTTCCGCTCTTTGTGAGCAAACAATATACTAACACAAATTAGGACTCCCTGCTTTGTGTCAATTTAGAGCCCAACAAAGATGCTACACGGAGTGATATGTCATTAGTGAGCAGGTGGGGAAGGGCGACATCGAGCTGCTGCCTCTCAGACTATGAAGAGGTTCCCATGGCGACCAGGCTGCCTCTTGCCTGTGTCATTGGAGGAGGAGGGGGGGAAAGTATGCTGCGTCCCCAATTCCACTGTAGGTGGAGTGTTAAATGATGATTTAACTGAGAGGAAATCTGTCATTTCACTTAACCAAAGTCTGCTGCGATTTTTAAAATCTTTTTTTAAATTTCAGAATTCTTAATTTGGTTTTATTTACCAACAAGCCGTCCTGTGGATGTATTGTTGACATCATGGTTGTTTCATGTGTTCACAAAAACATGTTGATTTAGGTAATCCACAGAAAACAAGTAAAACCATTTATGAAAAATACTGTTTTATTTTTAATTCTTTCAAAGCAAAAATGTGAAATGACCAAGTGGTAATATACAGACAAAACAACCAAGAAGTTACCTCGAGCGTTTTAATGGAAATGAAGTTGTGCTGAGCCTTAAATGTCAGCGAGAAGCTCCTGTTTCGATTTCAGTTGTTTCTACACCAACTTTTCCCCGTCGGCGCTTCGCGGGTGTTTGTCTGCAGCCTCTCGGGGTGTGAAGGGATCATCCACCAGCCTGACTTTCTGGTGTGCTAATGGAGAGCACTGAGGTCATCCCAGTGTTGTCGAACTTTCCTAATGAGATAACTGTAACCCCCATATGAGCAGCTACACTCCTGGTGGTCCGGCACTGGGACACGCTCATCTTTTCAACTGGGTAGAGCAGCGCGACCAAGCAGTGTGAAAGGCCGAATAAAGGGGTGAGGGATGGGAGGGATGGGGGGGGGGCGCTCAAATCCCATTTAAGCCTTTTGTCATTCCTACAAGGATGTATTTGTCATTAAAGAACAATAATAGTATCGCATGTAGACTTTTGTCAGATAAAAGAAGTGGACGGTTAACACACTGAAAAACAGTTTGATCTCGTAAAAACGTTTTAATGTGGTTTAGTTTAATATGGCATTTAGGTTTGTCCTGTTATTTCCCATTTGCCCCCTTTCGGTTCAGTGAATCCAGCATACACCTGTAGGAGTTGTTCCAGGTCATGTTGGCGATTTGTGTGCATGACTTTTTCAGCATGTGTGTGAGACCTTAATAACTGGGCCGGTGATTTATCGCCAGTACTCGGCAGCCTCTTTTCTTTTTTTTAAGAGGAGTCCAGACAAAAGCAGAGACCCTCACCCCGCTGGTTTAATGGTTCTTTAGGATGTGCAGGGAGGGCAAAACAGAAGTCACGTGGGGGTTTTCAGCTTTTAAAGAGGCAAAGTGAAAGAAGATTGAGTGGCAGAAATAAAAAGCAGCCCGGAGAATGTTTACGACTGTTCGACGGCTCGACTGTTGTTGGACGCCAACCTTTACTCCGTGGTGACACGTTTTCTTCATATGTTGGAGCAATTAAAGGGAATCTTTGAGACCACACTGTCCCAACGCCTGCTATTTCTACTCTGCCCCCTAAGCCTCCGGTGACCCGTCTCCGCTCACGTCGAGGCGCTTCTGGAGAAAAGCTCGTCTGATCTCCCGGCTGCCCCCCTGAAGCGGCCGTGTTTTACGGGTCGTGGCTCTTTTGTTCACCGCCTCGGCCGGATCACTCGCACTCATTCCTCCTGGAAGTTGTTTGAAGGCCCCCCCCTCCTCCTCCTCCACCTCCTCCTCTGTTCCATCTTTATTGAATCCCGCCTCTGTATCATTTATCTCTGCCCCCCCACCCCCCTCTCCCCTGGGTTTGAGGGGGCATCCTCTTTTCTCACCCAGCTGGGTTTGTTGACACACAGTCAATCTACGGTTCCCTTTCACCTCCTGTTCCACCGCTCTTTTTAACTCCCCACCCCTCGGCTCTCCCCTCCACTGTCCGGGAGCAGTAAAGCTGCCACAGCTGTGGGCTGTATTAGCATAGCTGCTGAGAAGCAGGGGGGGGGGGTTGCGAGATATATTGCCGCCATTAGCTTTTGTTCAACTGTTGACAGTTTTAAAACATGTCAGCTCCTCTCTGCAAAGGGAGTGAAGAGAAAAGGATGATTTCAGTGAAACAGCTTTTTAAATATGGGACACTGCTGATGGGGGGGGGGGATTTAAAGCAAACCATTGAAAACAGTACAATATCTAATTAGTGATTGTGTGTGTGTGTGTGGGGGGGCGTAAATCTCAAAATGCTAAAATCTTGTGTTTATCATTTCTGTGCTAATAACACAGAGGAAATGTGTGTATAACAGCTCACAGAGGAATGTTTAATTTACCTTTTAAAATATTATACGTTTTCTGTTTTTATCAGCAGGTGTCGGGATGAACAGGTCCAAGGCCAGCCGGGATAAAAAAGCCCCCCAGTCTCCGGTCACCAGGATGACCCGCGGGTCCAGCTCCCAGGCCAGGCCCACGGACCCGGCAGAGGCCCAGGACGACGGGCCCGGTCCCCATGCGAAGCAGCGAAGGAAGCAGACACACTCTGCTTTGGCCCAGGACCTCAGTCAGATGAGTGTGAGCAGACTGGACTGTTTGCCTACGAGGTAACGTAACATACTGCAGAAACTCTTACTTCATTTTCTCTAAATGATCAGGATTAGATAAGAATACAGCAAAGCACATATTAAACCGTAAATGAGAACAAGTAGCCACAGAACTAAATAACGGACACACATTATTTAGTACATGTGCATACTTATAAATCCCCACAAATGTGGTAGTTTGTGTAAATGTGTAGTTTTTGAAAAACAAATCTTGTGTGGGGGGATTATCTGGTTTATACATCAACTATTTTGATATAAACTGATTATGTCGGGGACTGACCACACATGGGATCAAGACGTCTTGTCTTTTTTTTTCGTTTTACCGCCCCCCAGTGACGGAGACGTGTGCAGGAGTGGCGGTCACTCCTCCGGGTCGGGATCTGGACGCAGCAGTCGGTCCGCGCCGGCGGCCAAGTCCTCGTCCCTCGGTGGTCTGGCCTCGGTCGCTCGGCTGGTGAAGCTCGGCCGCTGCAGGAACGTGGTGGTGGTGGCCGGAGCGGGAATCAGCACAGCTAGCGGCATCCCTGACTTTAGGTTGGTGTCTGTGGGTCTCGTTCTCCACAGCCTCCTATAAACTAAGTCTTTCTTTAATGCTATACATAACCAACGGGTATGAGAAAGACACTTTTCGCGGGCTGCAGTAAGAGCTTTACCATGACGCCGCGATTTCCACATTTTCAGAACCCCGGGAACGGGCCTTTACGCCAACTTGGAGAAGTACAACATCCCTTACCCGGAAGCCATTTTCAACATTGATTACTTCTCCAACGACCCGCAGCCTTTCTTCTCCCTGGCCAAGGCGCTCTATCCCGGGAGCCACAGACCGAACTACATACACTACTTTGTCCGCATGCTTCACAACAAAGGGCTGCTTCTGCGGATGTACACCCAGAACATCGACGGGCTGGAGAAACGTGAGTGGGAACAGGACCCGCGGGGCTAATGGAAGTACCAAGTAAAAGCACATCCAAAACACTTGAGTACTGCAGGGGTGTTTTTTAACGTGCATGTAAGCAGCCAGAAATAATGACGGCAGGAGCCCACTGAATGCTCGCTGCCCTGCTCATGCTAGTCGCTTCTATTTCTGCTGGTTCGCTCCTAACTCTTGTCCTGTCGAACCACTGTGTTCAGTCTGCGGCCTCCCGGAGGACAAACTGGTGGAAGCTCACGGTAGTTTCGCCACAGCCGCCTGCCACCTGTGCTACACGGCGTTCCCTGCCGACGAGGCCAAGGCACGTCTGAGTTCAAGCCGAATACAGTAATTCGCTGCATTCCGCGGCAGACTAACGCTTTCGTGTCTTTCCTTTTGTTGTTTTTGCAGCGGGCCATAATGAACGACAACGTCCCCATATGTACATTCTGCGCTGCAACAGTCAAACCTGACGTTGTGTTTTTCGGAGAGGACCTCCCTCAAAAGTATTTCCTCCACACTAAAGACTTCCCCAAAGCGGACCTGCTAATGATTATGGGCACCTCTTTACAGGTTAACGTGTTCTAATATCTATCTAGTGAGCACATAACCCCCCCCCCCGAGCTCAGAAACAGCTTTACAAAATATAACCGTTTCAGATAGAGCCATTTGCGAGCCTGGTGAACACGGTGCGCTCCACTGTGCCGCGTCTCCTCCTGAACCGACACGCCGTGGGTCCCTTCCAGAAGGTCCCGCTGCGGAGAGGAGACCACATGGAGCTCGGCGACCTGGAGGACACGGTGCGCAGGTTTACTACGATGCTTGGCTGGAACGAGGAGATTGAGCAGCTGATGAGGACTCAGGAAACACCGGTGGGTTACATTTTGATTAAAAAGAAAAAAAAGGTTGTGTTGAATACAGATACGGGCGAGTAGTCCAGTGACGTAGCGTCGCCATCCAATGTCAGTATCAGAGTCACAATGGACAGTTAAGACAAACGTTTTTAAAAACCTTTTTGACTTTGCAATTATTTCCCTTTCTGCAGATCATCCCTCCGCTCGGTGGCAGCTTGTCGGTGAGCGGACAGACATCTTCTCCGAGCAGAGGAGCTCCAGAGCCTCCAGGTGCAATGGAAACATCCAAATCCAGAGCAGGAGGTCAAAGGGCGGCCATCATCAACAGCGGCGGCGAGGAGGAGACGGACTCGGAGACGGACAGCAAAAGCTCTGTGTCGTCCTGCCAGAGCAATTAACGGTGCGCGCTGCACGAACGTTGGCACTGGAGCGGTTTAAGACAGTTTTTACTCTCCTTCATCTTCGTTTCATAATTAAAGCACTTTTTATAGAGGAGAACAGAACACTCGTAAATATATATGATGTAACAAATCCTGATGTTTAAGCCTTATCTCATTAAACTTGTTAATGTTTTATATGTATTTTAAACAATATTAAATAAGTTGTGTGTATGAAACCTTTTTCCTTGTATTATAAAGTCTATTAAACACAGTGGAAGCCTCATTTACACAAGTGAAAACCCGCATTCAAATTTCCTCTTCAATCGAAGTGGAGCTTCCAATTCTGTTATGAAAGTTCTCCCTCCATGCCAGGAACTCGGGTGTTGAATGACTATAAGGGATGCTGAGGCTGGTTGGATTGACACTTCTCAGGCCCACTCTTCCTCCGTAGATGTCTTGTAGAGGTGGCAGGTGAGGTCGCTCAAAGTCCGGATCGGAAGAGCAAGAGAGACGTGACCGGCTGCAGGTCCGAGACCAGCGTACGGGCTCTGAAACTACATGGTGGGGACCAATAGGGGTGTCGCATATTCTTGTAATAATTACAAAGTCTCTCAGGTAAAATGTATATTTATTTTCTTATAATACAACAAATTATAGTGTAAAATTTGTAACAAACATGCAGCTTTCTTTAGAACTGGCACCATTAACATTAAAGGAAATTGTACCAACAAAGAAAGTCGTTTGTCTGAGTTTATACCCAGATTCATATCAAATTAGCCCCCCAAATGAAGTGAATTAGAAAAACACCCGTCACTGAGAACTGATCGAGCGGCAAACAGATTTGGAGAAAGTAAAATAACACACACATTATCAGTGATCAATCATTGCAGTGATGGCAGAAACATTCTATTCACGATCGGTCAGCTTCAAATGGAAAAAAAATCCTTCTGAAGGTTTCTGAGAAACTGGTAACTACACAAGCCCTGTTTCCAATAATTTTTCTCACAATCATTTTAAGCAATTTCCTGAAGGCTCACAAAAAGAGAAAAGCAAATCAAGCGTTTCCAAGAACCCGCTTCGGAGGTCAAGGCTGCTACGGCACAGTTGGGCCATAGATGAGGTTTGCAGGCCAATCGTCTAATCTGCCAGTCGACGGAGCAGAAGAAGAGTTTTGACCAAACAAGTCGAGGTGGGACGGTGGAGAACAGCACGATTTAATTGTTCTCGATTGTCCGCTGCCATGTCCAAAGATAAACACAAGCAATCATGGGAATATCTGCGAAGTCCCCGACAATCATTTGATAGTTAAAAGTTAAATTATAATCGACACTGCAATAGTTTGGCCATGATCCATTTATCACATTAAGTAACTTAAATAAACTTGAGACAAAGTTTTATTGGATTTTATTGTTTCCTTTCAGCTTTTCTAATGTAGCAATTCAAAATGTGCATAAAAATATGTGGAAGGAAAGAACACTGAACTGTGTACTGTGAATCCATCCTTTGGGCCCCATTATTTTTAAACAGTTTAATGATTTCATGTTTGTGTGTAAAATACAGAGCGGACAAAATCATCATGAAGAAAAATGTGAAAAACCAAAGCACAGGTGAAGGAATGACTTTTAAACCTAGTGACACTACCAAACCCATAACAACTGTGCTCTCAGTAAGATGCACGTGTTCCAGCAAATAATTATATTATTAACTCTTAGTGCAACAGTAACCACGGAGGCCTCTTGTGCATCATGAGGCCCCTTTCTGCCGCGCATCAAGTCCACCGTTACTCATCCTGCCCCGTTCAGAGCCGGATCACCACAAGTCTCATTTCTAGACCCAACGCGTAACGACCAGCCACCTTATATACACATTGCTTAAACTAGACCTGACTTAACCTTGCAGATAAATAGAAGGTACATGTATACGTTAATCAACCTGATCCACAGAGAGAATAGAAAAGACGGGGAAGTTAAGGGGACAGTCGACAGCTTTTTCTACGCACCTCGTCCAGCGGATTTTGGAGACTCGTTGGTAGTTTATAGAGCCATGTTGTTGTTCGCGAATGATTCTCGTATCCATTGCCACATTTTTCCCGTCGCTCACCCCTCGAGTAGCGTTGACTACGTATCGACACATTGTACTGATATCTGCAGCTTTAAGTTAATAGAGTGTCATTTATTGGGAGGTATTGGTACAGCGGGTGGATCTTTTGACTGACTTCTGCTACTGTTGCTCGGTAACAGACTCGGTTCAGCCCGGTGTTTTCATCGCTGACAGACCCATCGTCATGGTCACCTTCCCGTAAAAAAAACAAAAAGGTCCAGATCTCAAATTAGGACACAGTTCCACATGTGTTGGGGGCCGAGTGGGCTTAGCCTGGAATATTGGGCCTCCATGTGAAGTGCACTAGTCAGAGTCTGATCCGGAGTCCTCAGGTTGATCACAAAGAGTTTCTTCAAGAGGTGCTAACGTTCCGTCAGGCCGGACCCCCATTGGCCGGATCACGTTCTGCCTGTGGGCACAAAAAGAGAAACATCAGGTGTCCCGCTGCTGGATAGAAAGGGCTGGATGGGAAGGGAAACAAATAACTTTGTTCAGTATCCTTTGAATCATCGGAGCGTTTACTTTTACATCTTTACTCAAGATCAAGTCAAATGAAGAACTCAAGAAGCCCCCCATCCCCCCTTCAAGGACTCATGTCCTTCTCTGGCCGTCCTCCCTCCCTCCCTCGCTGCCCCCCTCCTCCCTCCGGCAGATTAATTACAGGATCAGCACTCACTCTAATCTCCTCAAAGCCACTATTGCACCTTCATCCTAATCCAATTATACCTGTTCTGTGTGTCACCACTTCCTCCAAGATTATTCATCTGAGAATTATCTACCACTAATAGATTTTTTTTTTTGCCATTTGCATTCATTTGTGAAGAGATTCAAATATAAATGGCCACGTAATTCCCACTGATTCCTCCGATAACATTCAACATATCTATGGGAGACTGCAGGTTAAATTCTCAATTCTGCAAATATTTCCAGCATTTTAGGTAAAAAATAATAATAGTTGAATTGCTCAAACTTGCAGAGACGCCCCACCAGTTCAGTGCCTTATATCACTGGTTTACCTCAGCAGGTACACTGAGGACTAACAAGCACACAAACAAAAACATGGAACATTAGCTCTCCCAATTAGCGCCAAAACATTCCCTCCTCTTCTACTCAGGAGTGACGGAGGACTGGCAGATGGGATGGATGGGTGGGGGAGCAGAATATGTGCTAATTGGAGGACCAGTTAAGTAGTTAGGGGAGTGCATTCTTACAGGGCTCTGACTGATCTCCTTAGAGCCTGCACCGAGGAAGCACCTCTCCGTAGTCATCGTCAGGAGGAGGCATAAAGAAGTCGCAGCCTTTGGGAAGGAATCCTCCTCTTCTTGGGCACACGTGCCTCATTACAGCTCAACCCTCTCTTTGGCGTAACAATAACGAGGGCCAGCTTACTTATGTCTGAACATTTGTTCACCGCTGCCTCTCCGTCCACGTTCCGCCCAGATTGCTTTGTTGTTGGTTGTGCATCCGCCTCGGCCCCACTCCCTGCCCGGCCAACGACTCCTCAGACCGACAACAATAAAGCCAGCACACGCGTCGCCGAAAGCCTGAATGCGCCACATAAAAGGAACCAGGACGGCCAAGCCGACTTTCTGTCCCAATTAGGCGATAATTAACGGGGGCTGTGGTAATGATGCTGCGGCGGCGCGCCGGCAGCTTCCATTTTCTTCGTCTGAATGCTGCAGCTACAGCAAGAGATTCCTCCTTTGATGAATCGGTTGGCAGGGAGCATGCTCACCGCTACCTTTGTGCAGGCTTTGTGCTCGACTAACCTGAGCCTCTGCTCGGTGAGGAAAGGTCAACACGAACACAGCCGGGCTCAATTAATGATATGAATACTTTGAGGAGGGAAAGTTGCTCAAACTGAAAAAGTTAATCTTGGTCTTGATTGATTGAAATGTGGTACTGTGCTGTCAATACGTCTACCGTGTTTATTATTATCATTATTTTTGACCAAAGGGTTGAAGACACTGACCATGCTGCCAAAGAATCCACGAAGACCTGGCAGGAAACTTTGATTCTCCTCATTTCAGGTCAACATTCGATCATATTCGTATTGTTATTGTTATTTGCTCTGTGTGTAATTACCTTGACAACTTGTCAAACATATTGACAAGTTTCTGGGCTTCGTACTCCTTCTGCTCGTCGGTCATCTCTTCGATGGGGTTTGGCATGGGCTCCTCCACATGACCGGTGATTGGGTTAATGCTGACGAGCAAGCAGACGGGAAAGGTAAAAAAAAAAAGGTGCAAGATCAGAGATCCCGAGAATTTCGATTGCTAAGCGGTTCTCAACACGCGGTCGTGAGCAAACCAGCGGTCCTTCTAAGAGCATTGCAGAGAACTTACAATGGTTTGGCAGATTTGTATTCCTCTGTGTCAGAGTCTTCATCTTCGGAGTACTGAGTCTCTCCTCTCCCTCCTGCGAGAAGTCCTCGAGCCACCAGGAGTCCTGCTGCGTTTCCATACCCGGTGTACTTCAACAGGTTGTCCACTACCAGACAAGATAAAGGGCAAAGCTTGTTACATGAATGTTCATGTGCGATCATGAGCCGGTGTAATCATGCGGCAATCACCCAACTGGACACGTCATTCCTGATCTCTCATTTGCATATTTTGCAAATGATGATTGCCCCCCCCCCCCCCCCCCCCCCCATGACCCGACCACTGCTCACCGCTTTCTTTGCAGAGGACAAAGAGAAACTCTGCAGCCGTCTGCTTCACACCCATGTCAACATGCGTCATGAGGCGAACCAGCTTGTTTCTGGTGGTGGTGCCGATCTCCGGCCTGATCTTCACATCTTTCAGTGGGGGAAGTACCTGCAGGTGCAGATATGATAAACAAAAGTTCAGATTACGTCTCCTTTGAAACACAGTAACTGGGTAATGAGAACACACATTATCAAGGAGCTATAAAAGTATTTGAAATCGGGTAGGGATCCCTGGGAGCCTTCAGTGCTTTCCTCAAAACGAGCAAAAAAGAAAAACTCAACAAGAAATGTCACATACTTTATTGTAATGACGTCTTTTGAACTTTACCTGAGCTTTGATATATCTGCGGATCTCCCTGTGTTGTCTGGATCCTTCAGTCAAAAGGCTGAGCACCGGAGTCAGACCTTCTTTGTAGTTGGAGCCCTGCTTGGAGTGACACAAACCACAAACACTTCACAGGCGGCACGAGCTGCGGCT